TCTGTCTACTAGATGGAATAACATATGGGCTTTTGTTCCCACTTTGGACTTGAAATTCAAACGCACGTCTGTTATGTGGAAGAATGAATATCTTTCTGACCATGTTTGTTGTTTGAACTCTGTCAATTGGGTACTTGCCTCTTGTGACACATCAGATATTAAAACTTCCGACTCCATTGTTGCTCCCTTGTTGAGGATTTCTCTCAGATTGATGGTTGGATCCGCACCGCCATTAGGCAGAATGTTGTTGAACTTGATCTTCATGTTAAAGCATTTATACTGATGATTAAGTTTTCCGACTTTGGAGTTGCCTAAATGCGTTTTCAGGTGCAAAACACTGGTGCTTTGAAGGTTAGTCAGATTGTATTACCTATATTCCTCCTGCATCAGGCTGTTTCCCGAAACTCAAGTTCCTTGATGTCAAAGTTGAATGTCTTGAAGGCAACTCAATGGAAAACCTTTATTCATGCTGCCCTGTACTTGAAGATTTATCTATAAATGCGACTATTGCAGTTGATATGGTTCCAAAATTTAAAGTCTCTTCACCTGAACTGAAGACGTTAAAAATGTCCTTCTTTCTTAATGTGTTTGTTGTTGAAAAAGATATTAAGTACAGTATTTCTAAAATGCCCCAAAGCTTGACAGCCTTGACATTTGACAGGAATATTTGTCGAATTATTCATTCAAGAATGTAACATCCCTGGTCAAAGGCAGTGTGTATCTCCATAGCCATTAAGCGGCTGAATACCAGGATGGCGTTTCTGACCAAGCAACTGCGCTTCTGCAGGGATTTTCCAGTGTTAAATATCTGTCTATTTCAGCTCATGTTATGGAGGTAAGTATATGCCCCAACTCATTCTTTTACGCTGTGTATGACTTAGGACACAGAGAAGGGGATTTGCACAGGGGAAAAGCAAATCCCTTCATAGTTGGACAGGTTAAAGAAATCAAATAGTAATTTCAGTTTTGGGGTAGGAAGGAGATGACAAAGAAACAGAACTGTATCTAAGTAATAAGATACTCGGTTCCTTTTTCCTTTTTCCATCATAATCCCCTTTTATGTACAAAAGAAACGCTTCCACAATCCTAAAATACAAGGGAAAGACAAATCCCTGGCATGCCACCTTTTCCCGTTCTTTTTAGCCTGTTAATCATTCTTTCTTTGTACCAAAAGTAGTATCTGTCTGTAAAGTGAAACCTGTATTACGTTTTGGCAATTTTTTATTTGAATCTGAATGTTATGTATTATTAAATTTTTTCTTAATACACTAGTATATATTTGATCTTTAACCTATGTTTTCTAGAAGAGTTATCATCTGCTTGCATTTGATAATTTGAGGGATTTGAACCTGGTTCTTTACAATTGCTATCACTGGAATTTGCTAACAGAGTTGCTCAAGCAATCACCTAATTTGGAATCTCTTGTCGTCGAATATGAAGTAAGATGTATTTCGACTCATTGTAAGTCATAACAACTTGTTGCTCTTTACTATTGTCATATTTGTACTTTTCAGGACGAGGAATGTGTTGAGGATTATGAGGAGCGTGAAGAGGACTTAGTTTTCTTATACTCAGAGCATCGATGGAGCACACCTGAGTCAGTGCCTATCTGTCTAATATGCATCAAGACTGTCACTACAAGGGGATTCAAGGGATACCCACATGAGCAGAAAGTGGTAAAGTATTTGCCAAAGAACGGTAATGTTTTGGATAAGATGATTATTTATCGATTGATGGCTTTTACAAAGAATTAATGCTTGAAAAGGCTTCTAGGACTTGTCAGGTTGAACTTCTCTGAGATGCAATTTGTAGCTTCTACATGGTTATAATTTTGTAAGTCCAATGTTTGGGGTTTTGCTTTCAAAGTTGTAAATCAGACCAGCATTTCTGATAATCTTCAGATTGATCGATTTGTGGATGTTTGTTTTGGATTGTATACATGTTTAGTTCAACTTCATTAAACTCTTTTTTGCATTTCTTTTGTATACAAGGCGATATGGATTATAGCGAATTATATTTGTGTTTTCAAAAAAGTTCTGGGCTTAGAAATTACACTAATTCCCTATGAGGTTTCAAATGTTTTCATCCAAAAGTTGATATAAGCCTTTATTTATAAGTTTCTTCCAAATGGCAATTGACAACTTTAACCTCAAAGATTAAATTAAGCGTAGACACTCCATGAGATCTATACTTATTTTCACCTCACAGGTTTCTCAAATTATGTTTCGCCGATCACATTGTCTATGATCTAAGTTTTCGTATGCAATTCTACATGTAGCATACATAATTTGGTTAAAGTTATGCTACTAATTATTTAGCACTCAAACAAAGTCATTGCATTTGCTCTCTCGTTTGTTTATCCCCAATGAACGAATTCGGTTAAAGTTATACTACTAATTATTTAGCACTCAAACAAAGTTATTACATTTTCTCTCTCATTTGTTTATCCCCAATGAACGAGTGCAAATAACAACTCTCTTTCTGAAAAATCCAAAACCGAAGTTTGGCTTTTCTTTTCTACATTCCTTGGCTACAAGCAGAGGCTCTAAAAGCTCTAAACTTGGGAAGACGCAGAGAGTTCAGCTTAGTAGGGGAGCAACCATTCGAAACCAGCCGTTACTTTTCAAATTCTTGGTTTTTCAAATTTCCCATCAATAATGTCAAATTACACACTAGCATTCCCAAATAGACACATACAACGGCTAGTTCTGGGGATAATAGTGTCATTTAAGCACTAAAATTTCTCTATAAATACCCAAAAGCTTCTCCTTCATTCCTTTTCTCACACACTTCTAGCAGCTCCTCCGAGTCCTCAACAGCTACAAGTATTCAATCATCTCTTCAAAATCTTTTCCGCATAATTCATCTTTTCGAAGCTTCTTTTGGACATGGATGATGTCGAAATCAATGAAGCTGCTGATAGTGATAGTTCTGGAACCAATTCTATACCAACTTTTGAGTACTTTCACTACAATACCAGAGAAGGTATGGCCAAATACATTACTTCAACCGGCCAACTTTCCACTCCTGCCGAAAATGTCAGTTTCGAGACATTCATCAAAGGCTGTATTCAACCCAAGTATGTTACTCTTCCCCCATTCCTTATTAAAAGCGACTGCTTGAAACTTTTTAGCGAAAAGAAGAACAAATTGATATCAGAATTTGCTAGTTTCACGGGTACAATTTCTTTGAGTTCCAGTTTTTGGCGTAGCAGCGATGATCGGCTTGGTTTTGACTGCGCATTTTATTGATTCTTCTTGGATGTTGCAGAAGAGAATTATTGGTTTTCGTATGCTCGAATACCCTCATAGTGATTGTGTCAAATTTCAATGCATGATGGATATATTTAGGGAGTATTCAATTGATGACAAAGTTTCTGCTATCACTTTTGATAATGTTATTTGCAACGATGCTATCGTTGATATGTTTCGAAATGCTCTGCATCATCCTAATGGAGTTCCTTTTTCGGACATGAAATGTTTAGGACACGTGATTAATTCGACAAGAAGGGTTGAAACTGATGGAAATTCGTATGGAAACACTTAGGGCGGTTGTTGTTTATGTTTCTTCTTCTTCTAGGCAATATGATTGGAATACTTTCTGTTTACTTCGCAGTTTAAAACCCCAAAACTTTAAACCAGATAGCAGGACTCACTGGAACAGTACTTATCTGATGTTAAGATCTTTGGTGGATTACAAGGATGCAATCTATGATTTTTACAATAATAAACCCGATACCGGTTGTTTACTTGAAAAAGATTGGGAGCTTTGCTTTGTTTTTATGGAGTTTTTGAAGGTTTTTTATGAAACTGCAACCACATTGAGTTCAAACGTTTATTCTCGCAGTTCTTGTTTCATTCTCAAGCATCTTTGCTTCATTAGTTTTACATTTTCGGAACACAGAGATCATTCCGGGTTTAAACCAGTTTACGAAATAATGGAATCAAAACTCAGAAATTACTGTGAGGAAATGTTGCCTAGTATATGTTTAGCTGCTGCAATGGACCCTCGAATGCAGTTACATGGCGTAGAGTTGAGGTTAAATGAAATTTCCCAGAACTTAACCGTGCCGCTGAAAGCTGATGCGAAATCTGTCGAGAAATTGTTGCATAACCTTTACAAGGATTACGAATCAGAATTTGCAAAGAGAAAAACAGAAGGTGAAGATGAAGAATCCGAATTTCACAGCATTGACTACACGAAGAGATTGATGGCTCGGTTTCACGCAAAAGTGAGGAAAAAAGAAGAACAGAAGTATGGGCCTACTGAACTTCATAGATACTTGGGGATGAATCACTGTGGCACCATGAGCAATCAAGAGTATGTCAATCTTGATGTTCTAGAATGGTGGAAATCGCGCGAGGGTTGGTTCCCTACGCTTGCTGTTATGGCACGCGACCTTCTAACACCTTCGGTGGTTGCAAGAGCGCCGGAGTTTGTTTTTAGTAGCGCAGGTAAGCAGGTTTTGGACCAGAGGAGAAGCATGCAGTCTCCGAAAATGTTGGACTGCAATTTTTGCTTGAAGGATTGGGAAGACGCTGAACTTCGAGCTCAGAACTGGACCGATGACATGGTGGAGCATTTTAAAGATTCGAATCAAAGCAATGTGGATGAATCAGTGATAACTTAATCAAGTGCATTATTGTTCTGCGGTTTTTGTAAGTTTAACATTTTGACCAATGTTATCGACGGTCGTTGATGGTAACATTTTAGCATCCTGTGGTCGAGATTTCGACCAATTTTCTTGTACTTTTGTTTTTCTATATGGTAATTCTAAAACTTTTTGACATACTGCACAAGCATTGAATCAACGAGTGAAAACTTTAGTAAATGTAATTGAGATTTACTCTGTAAAATTTATCAGAATTCAAAATTTTCTTTTCTATCAGGACTATATGATTCTACTCGGACATCAGCTCGAAACAAAGAGTGAAAACGATCAGTAAAAGCTACCATTCGGGTGAGAGAGAGAGAGAGAGAGAGAGAGAGAGAGAGTGAGATAAAATTCAAACACTTGCGTTACTGTTCACTTAACTGAAGAAACTTGCAGAAAACTAAGAAGAATTCAAGTGAATGTGAAAGGAAAGGCGTACAAGTGACCATCTCTATTTAAGATATGGTAGAGACGAGAGAAAAATATACATGATTTACAATCGATCTTGTGAACAAAGTTTGTCATATCCTCTCTCGAGTCAACTCTCTTGAATTAAGTTGGTTGGCTCGCTCAAAACATACTTGGGTAGTTCATATTTTGCACCTGCAAGGGGGTAATGTAAGGGCACGCTAAGAGGATTTGAAAATGAAGGCAATAAAATATGAAGCGCAATCGGCCATTTGTACAGAGACGGAACAAGCTCACACGCCAACAATGGTGCATACAACATAAACCGGTAAACGCATATTTAGACTGGGTATTGACTTTAAAATGCAACACACGCACACAAACCTGCTTAAAGACAGGAAAAAAAAAAAAAGCTGCATAGCATTTGAGTTTATTGGGGGCAGGAAATAGTTATGAAGAAAAGTGCAAAATGGTTAACTACCTCTTTCGTCATAGCAAATTGTCAAATCAGCACTTTGAACAATGACCCCAGCACTGTCCACAATCGCTTGTGCAAGGCTTAGATCTGCCTCAGAAGCAGCTCGAAGTGCATCCCAAATCTCTAATGTACAGTACAAGCGAAATTTTTGTTTTAGATATAACATGTGTGAAGAATGCAATTTAGAAAAGGGGAACAAAAACCACAGTAGCAATTCAAAATCAAACAAGAAAATGACCACAATAATCACTTTATCATATCTTAAAGACTTGGACAAGAAGCTAATCCTCGTTCTCTATTTTTTTTTTTTTTTTTTGGGTCAGCCATTAGCTGTCATTGCATTCACATGACGTGAAAATCTTTATTCTCTTATCTAGTTAGCTCTGGTTCTCCCTTATTCTTACCTCAGGTTTGCCTTCATTTAACAAAAAATGCTCACTTGTCAGCTACAAGACTTTCTAGACAAGTTCCTGGGTTACTCAATATATCATAGTAGTTTCAAACAATACAGATTGAGCTCTAATAGGTGCTCCAAACTAAAGTAAAAGCTAAATTCTCAGATGGTGATAACAATAATCAAATGTAATGAACAACCCTTTCAACTCCACCAACACCACCACCCCACCCCACACTCATCAATCCGAAAAGGGAAGCACAACTAGCACAAGACTAAAGACAGATAATGCAACAGCCATCTTGGCACGCTGCACCAGAGAGCATACAACAATATAAGAAAATCATATTCCCCTACACTACTAAGAATGTTCACTCAATACTGAAATTCGGGTTTGTAGAGAAATCATGAATTATTCAGGATGAAAGCAAATTTACCAAAACATACATAATTTAATATCTCATAGTCACGTTCTTCTTAACACTTATGGACCTCAATGGTCATTCAGTCTCGAATGAGTACATATGTTTGTTGAATTGAACTTAAACGACTCAAAGGAAACCCTTCTCAGACCAACTGCTAATGTTGACATTTTTAACATGACTAGAAAAGCAATTAAGTATTTCATCCTGTTGCTTTCTAGTTAATAGTCACATGATAAGAGCTTCTATCACCCTTCTATACAACCAGCTCACTCTAACTCTATACTGCACCAGATTCCAGAGATGTTCTCTAATTTTCCCTCGACTGCGTGTTCATACATAAACTCATTCTATAGTCCTTTGTAAGTTGCCACCCTTTGTTTTGTTATCATTTCACAGCATGCGAGTTGTTTTGTTAAATAAAAATATTGTGCCCCAGTAGGAACTTAGAAACAAGTAAAAGTAAAAAATGATACGACTATTTGAATTAAGAACCTTCAGTGGACCCCAAAAAATCTTCTGTATTTGTCAATATATGTACATCCAGAGGAAATATTACCTTTCCTTCCTCCATAGTGAGGAGCAGTGTCCCAAAACTCTTCACGCATCTGCAAGAGTTGAGACTTTGTTAACGGCTGAGGATGCTTCCAGGGTTTTGGCTTCCTAATCTTCTTCAAAGCCCCTGTTAAACAGAAAGTTCTAAGTATTGCCTCTTAACTTCCAGTGCTTTTAAAACTCAAATTATCAAATTTCTTCAGCGCAAATTGAAAATCAAATTATAATCAAGGATATCCTAATCAAAAGAAAACTGTGAGAACTATATTCCATCAACTGAAGCACGGAATACAAGAAACTACTTGTTTCCTTTCCCCTATTTAATTTACTATTAATATTGTTTTGCGAACTAAAAAAGAAATACTTGTGGTATAACTAGCCTGAAAGGAAATTAGCGATGTTTCAAGAATATGCACAATGCCTTCAAGAACAGACATAGGACCTAAGATCTCCTTCCAGCAGTCTATTCTTCACAATATGATGATGGGATGCTAAGCTAAAATCCTATCTCATGCATATCATTTGCAGACCTTCCAGCTAGTGATTCACAATATCAATTGCAGATAACACAGATACATGCAGGAATGACATGAACTTAAAGGGGAAGAGAGAAGGTGCTGGATAACTAAAAAACCCATCTACTACTTTTCACTTTCGATCCAATAAATGTCCAACATACAGACTGCAAAAATTAGTACCGACAATCACACGCGGATGTCAAAATCAGAAACAAAATAACACCAACAAAATTGTCCGATAACATCTTCGGCACAAAAATACCATCTTCGGCATGAAAAACTAACTCCAGCTTGTCAATGTGCAGATCGATGGTCGAAAACACATTTAAAGGCCTAAATCCATCTCTAGAACCGCAAGTTTCAGACGGTCGATTCCTCGGCTAAACCCAATGCCATTGCCTCATTATCTTCTTAACTCTATCTACCAAAATGCAACTAATCATCTTCTTCAGCATTATTTATCAATACAAAAAAGCATATGAATCTTGCGAAATCCAAACTATATCAAAAACTAATTCTTGAAACTAAAATAACAACAATTCATAAACCCCAACAACATGTTAATCAATTTTTTCAAGAAAATCAAAGAATTCAGCAGCCTGACTCAGCTGAGCTGAGCTAAGCTCAACCCATTCCAGAAATCACAATTATTTTCAGTTTCTTCAAAGATTTTTCAACTTTCCTTTTCCTGCGTTTTCCCAGCAGCCAAACAGAAGCTAAAACACCGAAGCCAAAAGATAAACAAAAGCAACAGAGGCAGAGAGAAAGATAGAGTAACCTCACCGTCTCCTTTGGTCTGTGACGATCCAGCACAACCCATTATACAGAGAGACGGTCAAAAATGGGAACCCAAGAGACTGAAAGCTCCGAGCAGAGGAGAAGAAGAAGAAGAAGCAAGCGAGCAGCTTTGAGCTTCGAGGTTCAGCTTCGTGAAGACGCAAAGTCAAAAGTGGAGCAACCCCGCCAACCCGACCCGATTCCGATTCCGGCTAGAGAGCCTGCGGGTTTTCCGGTGAGAAATTGAGAGTTGTAATAGTAAAAGAAGGGAGCTTTATTAGATTTTTTTTTTTTTAAGAACTTTTTATTTTTTATGATTTAATTAATCATTCCTCAATTATATACGGATGACAGTAAAAATCTTCTACTTTTTCTTCTTCTTTTTTTTTTTTTTTTCTTTACAATATTTTTTTTAATTTTCACATGTAACAGATAAATCGTTGAAGTGATTTTTATATTAATAATATAATATATATTATTATATTATTCAATCAGAACATTATATTATATTACATGTAGAAAATTTAATTATATTATATAATTAAAAAATTATACACGATGAACTTATTTTATACAAATTGTTTCTTTGTAGAAAGTGAAGGACTGAGGTTAGTGAAAAATGAGTTGGCTGTTAGTCACGTCCTCATTTTTCTTCCTTTTGGGAGTGGGCCAAGAATCGCAACTAGCCATTTGCTTTTGTGTTGGTGAATGAAATGTTTAGTTACTCTCTAATCCTTGTTGTAATATTCAAAGAAATCTTATTTTTATTTTAAAATTGAAGTAAAAATGGTAGAATCGGTACTTATTAGCTTGTTTTCAAATAACGAAGTCGCGTTTATGTCTTTACTCTTATGTTAATAACAAATAAACTTTAACGTTTCGATAAACTTTAGACTCAATTATTAAAAATGCACTAAAAGAAGACTCAGAACTGCTTAAGTACTACCAAAATAGTACTAAAACACTATTAAGTGTTCAACAAAGACACTACACACAATTTTTCAAATGACACATTGTCATTTAAAAGTTCTAAATAATACATTGCTTCTTGACATTTTTAAGTTCATTTATCTGATTTTTAAACCATTCCTAATAAATTTAGCTTACGTGCCATAAAACTTTAAAGTTTGCCCGCGCCAAGTAATTGACTTAAAAGTATTTAGAGTGGTTTAGGTCATCTCCAATCGAATGGTCCAGAGGGTCGAAAAAAACCCCAAAACCGTCTCCAATCGAGGGTCAGGCCAAAGGGCTCGTGGGCCCCACTGGACAAAAAATGGCCAAAGGGCAAATCAGCCGCCCCCAAGGCAGGCTGGAATTCAAAAAGCAACGGTCATTTAGCCGTTATTTTTGAAATTTTTTTTTTACAGTTTTTTTTTTTACAAAATTTGTTTAATAATAAGCCCAAAAAGTATGTTTGGTTGAATGTTTGGGTGTTCTTTTTATAGACTTTAGAGCTTGCTCAAATCCCTTTCACTGATGTGGGACTCCCACCCACTTCCATTTTTTTTTTATACTTCCTCTCCCACCCACTTCCTTTTTCTTTTTTTTTCTACTTCCTCTCCCACAGCCAATGTGGGACTCTCCCACTCACTTCCTTTTTGTATACTAGCATATGGGCACACACAAAGTGTGTGAGAACATTTTTTATTTTTGTTTTTGAAATAGAAGGAAAGAAGAAGAGAGTGACAGAGAATGTGGGAGTGAAAGTTTTTTTTTATTTTTTTTATTTTTTTTTTAAATTAGAGATATGTTAGGATTACATATTGTTGAGGCTTTGAAAAAAAAACAGCAAAATTTGTTTGTGTGAAATTACTTTTTTGCCCTATATTTCTTATTTATGTTATGTTTTAATTAGAGGGTTAACTTGGTAATTTTATAGGGTTTGGTTGACAATGAGTGTTTTATTAATTAGTAGAGAAAAGATACACACACTCTCTCTAAATAAAACCTCTTACATTTGACTTGAAATATATAAGTTGTATTTTTTAAATTTTAGTTGTAGTTTTTAAATTTAAGTTGTATTTTTTAAATTTTAGTTATAGTTTTTAAATTTAAATTGTTGTAGTTTTTTAATTTAAATAATAAATTATGTTTGGCTATATAGCTCTCGATTGGAGATTATTTTTAATGACAGGACTAAAACAAGTCTTATGACTCTTTGACCCTCGATTGGATATGTTAAGAAATATGGCATTGCATTGTTCATTAAAATATTTATTTCTTGGAGGATTAGAGGATTAAAACGAACCATCTGGTTACCTTTCAGTTGGAGATGGCCTTAATTTAGTTGAATTGAAGAGTTCATAGGGTTTCTCACCCTTATTCTTCCTGGACAGAGATCCTCTCCGGATCAGTCCTGTAGCGATCTGGCGGATCCATTGATCGCAACCGCACGATATAAATCCAACGGTCAAAATTTACAATATGTTTCACGCAAAACGAGGTCGTCTCCGCTCTCTTTTTCTGTTGCTTCTTCCCCTTCCCTCTTCGGCATGTCTGCAAGAATTCTCTCTTCCCATGCCTACAAATTCTTGCTCCACATGCTCAAATTTCTGCAGCCCAATTGATCAAGAGGAGGGGAGACAGAGAACCTTGGTTGCCGGAAAAATCCAAGTAAACTCAGAATCTCAAACCACTCATAAAATTTCAAAACTTTGGAAATTTCATTGATTAATTGGCAACGAAACGAAGCATAACAGGGAAATGGAATGAAGATTATACCTTTGGAGACGAGAGGGAACTGACATGGCCATGAAGGGAGGAACTTTCAGGGATGGAGAAGGAAGAAGCGGACGACGTGATTGCAGGAGAAGAAATTTTTTGGCCGTTGGATTTGTACCAACGACTATGATCAATGGATCCGCAAGATCCCCACGGGACTGATCCGGAGAGGATCTCAGTCCATTCTTCCCATATGCAATAATAATCTATAGGTCTACTCTACATATCCTTCATAATGCTAATTGTTTCAATAATGTAGATTTTGGTGGCTGTTTCCTTTCAATACGGACTATATGTCATCAACCCTTTTTTTTTTTTTTTTTTTTTAAATCTTTCAGGTCCTCCTAAAGTTAGAAAATAATGGATAATTATCTAAAGCCAAATCTCTGTCCAAATCTAAGCAGCATCTTTTGGAAGAGTCATCTACCGATATCCACCCATCTACTATAAACATATGATTATGACCATTAAATTTTTATTTTTGAAAATACTTGCATATTCAAGTTCTTCACTTTTAAGATAATGGTCTTGGTATTATTTCATCTTTCCAACAATATCAAGTTGATTTGTATGAATTTCCAACTACTTACTTCATTATAGATGTAAATTAAGTCAGTTGATCAAGGAAATATATCTACTCCCTACTTCCTTGTACCCGAGTTCAAATTTTCTCTTCGTAAATTACAGTAGTCTAAAAAATCGCATTATGCAAAACTACCAACCCTATTACACGAGAGGAACTCACCTACAATGTAAATGTAATTGTAGTATCTCATGGTGGTATTCTAAGTCAAAGATGTTGCATGTCATGCGTTTTAACTTTCCTATATGATGATGCGGGTCTGGCAAGGAATACCGCCACGATATATGGCATCCTTATGTCACGAAAGTCGTTGTCTACTATGCAAACAAAAGAAGAAACAAGAAAATATGCAAATCCACTTCTGCATGTCTCAGTTTCTCATTAACTTCCTCACAAAATGACTGCAGTGTATGGTGCCTGGACTAAACAGTCCTATGTCAGATAATACTTGTTTAGAATCGTCAGCCATCTGTATTTTTTTCCCTCTTCAAAACACATCTTTGGTAACAAACGTGCAGACTCACGGGATACACATTCAAAATCAGGCAAAAACTAGCTGAAATTTGCAGCGTGGCAAAGCGTAGTCACGGGGTCACGGTTTGATCATAAGCGGTATGAACTATCAGCCCCATACCTGCTCCTCATGTTGTAATTTTCAAACTTCAGATTGTCATAGCCCGCTGCCTTCATATCCACCAGTTTTGGTTCTGCCCCAACCGTGCCATAAACTACCTCTCCACTCTTCTCTCGCTGGCGATGCCTTGTTCTTTCTTTCTGGCTCTTAGACCTGCTATGAGAAGAAACCTCACCAGATCCATAGAATTCTGCAGAGTCCTGTCGTTTTGAAGACCGGTGCTTGCTTGACAAAGAGGGATCTTTGAAACTAGTTGACTTCATTTTTGGTGGCTTCATATCTGAATACTTCTCACTTGCATTGGGAGTATAGGCCTGTCGAGTTTCAGACAGAGGAGCAGGAGCATTTTGTCTCTGAACTACTGGAGCCTCGGCTTCATCTTCAGGCATCCTAAGAGAACCTTTTAATGGTGTTAGGCCTTTCTGGGAGCCACCAGGCATAAACCGCGACGGAAGGAAGTGAACGAATATGCCAGCCAATGCTGCAAGTCCAAGCTTGGATAGATCACTGACAAGCTGTCCAAAAGATGGCCATCCCGGTTCCTCTTTCATGCTTTTCACAAGTAGCATGGATTTCCCATTGCTTGGATGTTCTTTCATTTCACTCTTTGAAAGCGGTTGCTGCACCAGTTATGCATTAGATTAAGCGAAGAACACAACTTGCACAAATAAAATTTACCAATGTGGGAAACCTACACAGCTCCATTGTAAGGCATAAAGAATGAAATGGATTGACTTCGCTAGCCCAACGAAAAACTCTAAGAACAGTAAAACCACATAAGGGGCAGTAAAGCCCAAACTTTTTGCTTTCCATGAGAAAACTTCAGACATTAATGAATACTTTGAACGCAAAACAGATGAGAATAGTGAATATAAAAGCATGCGCAAGCAGTAATGAAAATAATAAGGGCAGAAATAAATCTTTTCCTTAATAACATGTTTCACTTGAGATGCATTTTCAGCTGAGATGGGATGAAAAATCAATCAAATTTTGGAAAACAAAGGTTCAAGACTGGAACAGGGACGAGCTTTTATTTTATATTTCGCATTAGTAAATCATAAGAAGCATACCGTTCTCGATAAGAAATAAGGTCCATATCCCTGCTGCAGTATGCATGTAGTATACCCTACCAAGACAGCACCAACAACCATAAGGATATCTGCAAAAGACCCACAAATATCAGTCAGAACGATGCTTCACAATCTTAAGCAGAATTTGATGGCCTAATCGTTGTGAAACATCATATATACCATATATTTTAATGCAGCACATAACCAAGAATTATCCCAAGCTTAAGAAAAACCTTCGAAGAGAAGGTTAATAATATAAAGCAACTAAATGGTATTACAATATATAATTGTAAAAAGGACGGAGTAAATCATTAACAGAATCTGTAACGTTTAAAGAAACTGGAGATGCTATATATATTATCCGCAGAAGGCAGAATGTCCACATAATCATATTCTTTATACTGGAAGCAAAATGCAGTGGCCTCAATTTGGTGTCCAGTTGGTGCTTATTTCTCACATCCGCATATAATAGTTTGGCAATAAAACCCTGCTATTTCTTTGGATCCTTTAAGACATAAACCATCAATATGACATCTTTAGTAATAGACTTAATAAAACACATAGGCCACCCTTTGTCTGCAGAGCTAACTGATACAGATCATTTCAAATGTTCGTATACAGTATGTGAAACCATACTTACATAAACTAAAAGGAGAATCAGTTATAGTAACCTATGCAAATTGTAGGGGTAAAACACTATGTACATGAAGACTGACAAGTATGCTTGCTTAAACAACTAGCATGGTCAAACTAATATAACAGTCATACCACCAACCATCGTAATTATGCCTAATGAATGGAAACTGAACATAAACATCATGGGATCAAACCTGTGGCAGAAATTGAACTGTACTGATAATCACAATCCTCCTGGTTGAGAGAGATCTGCCGGAGAGCAGCATTTCCTCTATCAACAACTAGCAACGAACAAGTAGGCTGAACATATATGATATCGAAATCATTTGAGAACATGGCATCCTCACTGGGCCCATCTCTATAGCCTGCAACATTTGATTTCCCACCCGCAATGGTTGTTACTCCTGCAAACAGTTTGCATTAGAATTTCAGAAATTGAAATATGCTCCTCTCTACAAAGGGATTCGCAAAAATGGTTTTCAGCTAATTCAACATAAATACATGCATACATACATAAAGAAATTTGATATTTTCCCTCATATTTACCTTCACTTGTTGCCAGCTTTCACCTGTATAAGCTTCTAAATAACTATGAAAATGACATGTACATACCAGCGTCTCCAATCTTTCGTATGGCGTGATTCAAGGTATCAGCAACATACACGTTCCCTTTATCATCCATGGTTACACCTTTGGGATGATTGAAACGAGCATCACTTGACTTCCCATCAACATGTCCAGCGTAACCCTGAAATGACCCAGCAACCAATCTTCCCCTACTATCTGCAGCAATGAAATGTTCAAAAATGAAAATTGGAAATCAAGGAATGTATTATGAAAAAGATAATAATTCATATAACAATGCAACTCATTAATATTGATTATTGAATTCCACAGTTAACCTACACTACAGGACTGTAAGCACCATCTTGTTACTTTCTTTATAAGAAAATTATTAGCATCGAGTAATTGATATACAGAAATTTTATCTGACGAAAAAAGAGGAACACAAAACCTTTAAATGTCAAAAGATTTAAACAACAAATACAAATATTAAGTTAGAGAGAAGCCGGGAACAAATCTCAAGTAAGGTGAAACAGTATAAGTATTTTGCATACATTGGGACAACGGTGGAGTAATGCGCATAACGTTGCTATTAACGGAGTCCACAGCAAAGAGCTCCCCATCCTCTGAGATGCGGATTTTGTGAGGAATAACTCCAATGTCATTTCCTTCCAAAACAGTCTCAACTAAGTACCCATTCTCATATTGAAGAACATTCTTCTCTGTAATAAAACAAAGTGACAAACCTTATAATACTTGCAGAAAAATTATCCTTGAGCAAGCATAACGTTCACGAAAACCAAAACAAATAAGCTGAAAAAGTCACTTGAAATTACCTGTTTGGGGTGTTTTGGAGGATATTTCCCGAGTCCACTTGAGAAGAGAAGACAAGTGCTTTATCAATGGCCCTGAGCAAACACAATTTAACTCAAAACAATATTACAAGTGCAGTAACAACAAGTATCTGAAATCCCCTGTAAACAGATCACAGAAACCCAACATACTATCGTTACTAAATGAATGAGAGAGAAAGAGGGTTATTTGGGAATATCAGAACAAACAGATCCCGGTAGGCAGAACCAAGAAAAATGAATAATTGGGGTATCTAATTATGTATGCAAAGCAATATTCCAAAGTCGGTTTTTATTTTTTAATAATATGATAAAATATTTCAAGCAAAATAAGAGAAGTAAATGAAGAAACAAAGCAAACCCAGTTGCCAAACAGATCAAACATACAATCTGAACCATCAGAGAAAGCCAGAGGAAGATGGTGACTGAAAGTTTACCTGCAGGAGCAGCATGAGCTTGGAATCGGAGGGAGTAAGTGACAGTGAGTGTTAGGAGAGTGAGGAAGAGATGGGAATTTCTCATTGCACTGATTTACAAAACCCAAAAGGCAATTGCTTGGCTTTGAATTTTCAAGTACAAGAAGCTTTACGGAAAATCATGGCCTCTGAGGTGCAGATGAAACTGGTTTTGGGGATTTTTGAATTTAGTTTAGCAAGTACGAGATGGGGCTGTGTTTTTGCTGCGTACTTTTGAGAGTGGGAGCTGCGATTTGTGTAGTGTACAGACAAACCGTGTGCTTTTCTTTCACTCTCTTTCTCTCTTGATTTGTTTTTTGTATCTTGCCTTTTCTTATTTCCTTTTTCACTTTTCCCTCAAAGTGATTTTTTTTTTTTTGTTTGAAATATTATATTCACACACCCAAGTTACTTCTTTCACATTTTTTTAAATTTTTTAATATTTTTTACACACCATTAATACTTGATAAAAAATATTAAAAAATTAAAAGGGTGTAGGTGAAGTAATTTGGGATGTGTGAATATAATCACCCTTCTTTTTTTAGGAGGAAAAAGTATAACATGTTGCGAGCATTGTTAGCCCATGTGTAACTGTGTAGATTTTAAGTAAATTGGATTTAAGATTTTTCATTAGTTTAGCGATTCTTTTTTTATTAAACTTTGTATTTACTTAGATGACAAGTTTTTCTTTTTTCAAGATTTACTATAAATAAAGGCATTAATGTAGAAGAAATAATACTCCTAAACATTCTACAATTTCTATATGCTTATTTTCGCTCCAATCTCTCTTGACGCACCATCTCTCTTCTGTTAGAAAATTGGCTACAACATAATAAAAAATAATCACTTAGTACTACGGTCTAGTAGTATTTCTCTTCACTTGTACTTAGGTTCGATTCTCGCCAAAGGCGAATTTGAACCACATTATTGCTAACCCATTATGAGTGTCACATCCTGACCTGGGACGGACCACTTCCTGGGGCTGCTCCACCATCGTAGCATGATATTGTCCGCTTTGGGCCCCAACCACGCCTTCACGGTTTTGTTTCTGGGAACTCACACAAAAACTTCCCGATGGATCACCCATCCTAGGAGTGCTCTCGCGCGCTACTCGCTTAACTTCGGAGTTCCCATAGAACCCGAAGCCAGTGAACTCCCAAAATGCCTCGTGCTAGGTAGGGATGAGAATATACATATAAGGATCACACCCTTGGGCGATGTGAGATGTCACAATCCACCCCCCTTAGGGGCCCAACGTCCTCGTCGGCACACCACCGCCAGGGTTAGGCTTTGATACCAAATTGTCACATCCCCACCCGGGACTGACCACTTCCCCGCCCCGCTCCACCACCGTAGCACGATATTGTTCGCTTTGGGCCCCGACCACGCCCTCACAGTTTTGTTTCTAGGAACTCACACGAGAACTTCCCAATGAGTCACCCATCCTAGGAATGCTCTCGCATGCTACTCGCTTAACTTCGGAGTTCCCATGGAACCCGAAGCCAGTGAGCTCCCAAAATGCCTCGTGCTAGGTAGGGATGAAAATATACATATAAGGATCACACCATTGGGCGATGTGGGATGTCACAATGAGGCTATGCCTACCTTCTCCCTTTTAATGTAGATAATATCGTTTGTTCAGAAAAAAAAAAAAATATGACATGCTCACCTTACACATGTGAAGCTGTAACCCCATGTGTGAGGTACATAATCCACCCGAGTTTGAATTCGTGGACCATTTCGTCTAATCTCATTCAACATACATCTAACACCATCAAACATGAGATTTGGATTGATATCCATTTTAATTGGCTATACTTATCTGATCCAGCCCATTAAACGATCAAAGACCTTGGCACAGTGCCCACCCTAATTCGTTAACCTAAATGTATGATCCTAAGCCTCCAATCGTGAGAATGAATCCCCGCCTTAAGTTCATGATCTCATATCATGATTCTAACCCTAGATCGAGACTCGACTAACCAAGGTTTTTCCAAATCTTACAATTCATACATGAACTTCAAATCTAAGATAACTTTGGAATTTATTTCTTAAACCTTAAACACTTTCGAACTTTAGTCCCCACATCAAATTCTAAAATCTTAATCCTCTTCGGATCTCTTGCACCTAATCTTTCTTATTAAACAATCCGGATTCTTAACCTTAAAATTTGATCAAACGATTAAAGTTATTATAATTTTTAAAGTGAGCCCGTATTTTTAGCTTTTCATAAAATTTCAAATATCTGAATTATTTGATCAAATTTCAAATATCTAAATTATTTAATAAGAAATATTAAATGGAAGGGATTCTAAGATGATCTCTTTCCCACAAAAATGACCAAGTTTGCAAAAATTGAAAATGTCGCCCATCCACTCTAATTTCGAAATTGGAGTCAAATTAAAAATTTCAACCAAAAAAGGAGTCAATTAAAATTGACACATATAGTGTCCTACTCCACGTATTTATCAGTACACGTGTCAAATACCCATTCGCTTTGACCTCGTGGCCTGCGAGTCCGGCACTCCCACGCACGCCCTTCGTTTACATCGCCGAAGCTCTTCGAGCCCATTTCTCATTTTTCAGCTCGTAACCAGATCCGAAATTTCTCTCTCGGATCGATTTTTCCCCCATCGGAGAAAACCCACTTCTAGGGTTTGGAGATCCCAAATTGTGGTTTGCGAGGTCAGTTTCCCAACCTCGAATCGATCTCAATTTCTTATTTATATTTTGTTTCGGCATTCTCAGATCTGTTATGATTTGTCCTCGATTTCGATCTCCGCGATCCACTTATGTATATATGCATGCATGTATCGATTCATATATGTATAGTTATTGAAGCATGTATGTATGTATTTATGCATGGCATTATGTATGCATGTGATATGTGATGGATCGGAATTGTATATTTCTGTGAATCTAGATGCTATGCATGCGTATGAAACTATGAATGTGTTTCAGTTTCTTAATTTCATAAGATTAAGCTGGATCGGAATGCCCCTTACCAAAAATGTCAAATTTTTGTACCAATTTAGTGTTTTCAATGCGAAAGATTTTGGCTTGGTGTTAAATGGGTTTTAAATTTTGATTTTTTTGGATTAGGTTATTAGATTAGACGAAGCAAGATGGGAGGAGGATTTCGAGTTCTTCACTTGGTCAGACCGTTTCTGTCATTTCTGCCCGAAGTTCAGAGCGCTGACCGGAAAGTTCCATTCAGAGAGAAGGTGATATACACCGTTATCTCGCTGTTCATTTTCTTGGTGTGCAGCCAGCTCCCTCTGTATGGCATTCACTCTACCACGGGGGCAGATCCCTTCTATTGGATGCGTGTTATCCTCGCTTCCAACCGCGGGACTGTCATGGAGCTTGGGATCACCCCAATTGTCACATCTGGGCTGGTGATGCAACTCCTTGCTGGGTCTAAGATTATTGAAGTTGACAACAATGTACGCGAAGATCGTGCTCTTTTGTAAGTATACCTTAGGCCTTTGAAATTTTTAGTGGTTAATCTTTTTTGATGTGGTTGTTTGCCTAAACGGTCTCCAGTTCTTGATGATATATGAAGCCAAAAGTGTTTTTCAGAAAGAGTTTTCAAAATACAGGCTTGAAAGCTCAAGACATTAAATTATGTTTTTGGTTCCGAAACTTCAATACCTTTGTTTTCTGCTGCTTTTCAAAAATTGTATTTGAATACATTTTGGAAACTAATCCAAACTCAAGTGCCACTGTCTAGTAAATCATGCATGTCAATCGTGGTCACCTGTCTCTAGTTACTTAATTTTTCTGGAAATCTCTGTTGCTGCGGTTTCAAATCTGCTGTTATGTTTGTCTTAAGTTTTAGTATTCTCTTTTATTCGTAACTTGTATACATGTTTTGCTATATGTATTGCATGTCCTGATTTATGTTTTTCTTCACAGAAATGGAGCACAGAAGTTATTGGGTATCCTGATAGCTATTGGTGAGGCAGTTGCGTATGTTCTCTCTGGCATGTATGGTAGTGTTGGCCAACTTGGAGTTGGAAATGCCATTTTAATTATCATTCAGCTCTGCTTTGCCGGTATCATTGTGATATGTTTGGATGAACTTCTTCAGAAGGGATATGGTCTAGGCTCTGGAATTTCACTTTTCATTGCCACCAATATCTGGTGAGTTCTTTATCCTTTCTTCTGCCTTAATATGTCCAGAAGTGGGAATAGTTTATGAGTCAGCATGTTCAAGTTTTTGGGGAAGTTTTCTAATATGCTATTCCAAATTTTAAGTACTTAAAAGTTACATTATTCTTTTTCAGTGAAAACATTATCTGGAAAGCATTTAGCCCTACCACTATCAACAGTGGGCGAGGAGCTGAATTTGAAGGTGCTGTTATTGCCCTGTTCCATCTTCTGATTACTCGAACAGATAAGGTTCGAGCTCTCCGGGAGGCCTTCTACCGGCAGAATCTACCGAACGTGACAAATCTGCTAGCCACAGTGTTGATCTTCCTTATAGTAATTTATTTCCAAGGGTTCCGCGTGGTTCTGCCTGTGAGATCAAAGAATGCTCGTGGACAGCAGGGTTCCTATCCTATCAAGCTGTTCTATACCTCCAACATGCCCATCATTTTGCAGTCTGCACTTGTGTCCAACCTTTACTTCATCTCCCAGGTACTGGAGATTTTATGCTTGTATGGTCTGTTTGGGGACTGTTTCTTCTACCACATTATTGTGACCAGTTTATGTGTGTGTACAGTTGCTCTACAGGAGGTACAGCGGAAATTTCCTAGTGAATCTTTTGGGCAAATGGAAGGAATCTGAATATTCAGGAGGGCAATTCGTTCCTGTTGGTGGTCTAGCATATTATATCACCGCACCTTCTAGGTACTTGGGAGTATTTTCCTTTTGAAAATATTTTGTTTTATGCTTGATAAAGCTTGAGTTTTGTTGGTAAACCTGATGATTACGTGCTTCCTCTCTATTCCTGCTGATCCCCACTTCAGTTGATATGCTGCGGTTATATTTTGCAGCTTGGCTGATATGGCAGCCAATCCCTTCCATGCACTGTTCTATCTCATATTTATGTTGACTGCCTGTGCACTTTTCTCAAAAACGTGGATTGAAGTTTCTGGATCATCTGCCAAAGATGTCGCCAAGCAGCTCAAGGTATTAATTTTAATGATTTAAACAAATTGTTTGATTTGTTGCAAATGAGGGGTTAGTGTAGGTAGGTCTGACCCAATCTACACTGACATTCTTCCCACTTTTTGACAACTTAAGTGGCCAGATCAGACCCAATCTACTCCTCTATTGATGTTCTTACCTAATGCGCTATTTAAACCATAAATATGTACCTGAACAATTAGATCCGGCTTTTTGTTAACATAATGTTACCTATTCAATACACGCTAAGCGTCATGCTAACTGTATCCCTTTCCAATTTGCAGGAACAACAAATGGTCATGCCTGGTCACCGTGAGTCAAACTTGCAGAAGGAGTTGAACCGCTACATTCCCACAGCTGCTGCTTTCGGAGGCATGTGCATCGGTGCACTCACAGTGTTGGCCGATTTCATGGGGGCAATTGGTTCAGGGACCGGAATCTTGCTTGCAGTGACAATCATCTATCAGTACTTCGAGACATTTGAGAAGGAGAGAGCCAGTGAGCTCGGTTTCTTTGGTTTCTAGGCACGTGTATTGCCGAGTAATGGTCTCGCCCTGACAATTTTGGTGTGCTGAGAGATGTAAGTAGGTTTTAACGGAGAAGTTCAAGATATTAGGCTAGTCTCTTATCACTCCGTTTCATGAGAATACAAAAGCAATGCAATCCTCTTAAAAAAAACAGTGTTATATGTCAAGTGTCGTTGTATCGGTTCCTGTGGATTTTTATAATTTACTGTCTGAAGTCTTTAAGGACACCTTTGAGAAGCTACTGCCAGGATTTTGTTCTTGCTAATTAGGTGTAGAAATTCACTTTGTTAGAGTGTATTTGACTCTTTGTTAACACAAGTGAATTTGCCCGAAAATCTGAATTTTGCTGTTTCTGTCGTTACAAGAAATTGAGTTTGTTATCTGGTTTGCTCTGCGTTTAAAATTCAATCTTGGTGCTATTCTGCCGTTGATTTTGTCAATGGAGCCTCTGGTCACCGGCGCTGGAATTTATCAACAAAAAATGGACGATCCGTTGACATGTTCTCCATATTTCTCGAGCTTCGACCATTGAATTTGAACTCACCCGTTGACATGTTCACCGTATTTCTCAAGCTTCGACCATTGAAGCGTTTGTACCGGACAAGGCTCGCGCAGAAGCGTTCATTCCCGACACCGTAATTCTCAGGCTTGGACCACTTAACCCGTCCGACCGATAGAATCGGTCATTTGGAGTCGGTAAAACCAACACACGGCGCAGGCCTCTCCGTTCGGTTAGCGTACACTACACACAACCCAGCACAGCACTATTAAAGCCTGCAAGCTTGTCTATTGATCTTCCGAACAAACAATAAGCTTCAAATATTTAAAAATAATAAATCCAACATTTCGTGGCAAAAAATATTTAAGTGAATATGCTCCTGCCAAATGGGTGGATTTAAGGGAATTACGAATAATTTTTGGCTTGCCGCCCTTCTCGCCTTCTGAATGGTTAACTTTTGAATTAAAGTATTTTCTTGTACAAAATAGAGTGGCTTTGTTTGGCTTTTAATTGGTTCATGACATAAATGGACAAAATGGGAGAGAAGCTTTGCTAGGGATTGACGTGTAGTGGAAGTAAATGATCTCTGGTTTTTTTTATTAGTGTCAGTCATAAATGACAAGTGAGGGAAAATAGGAGTATTACTTTTACTTTTCATTTATTTATTGTACGATACATCCACGCCCCTATATTGAGGTTTCAATCTGAAGAAGTCTCTCAATACATCCATGCTTAGCACGGTACTGTGTTTTAAAAAAAAATTGATTATGTTGTATTGTAAAAATAAGCAGCAGAGTGTTTGATAAACTTTTTTATATAAAAGTACTTTTGAAAAAAAAAAAAAACAGTATGATAATATTTGGTAAACTTTTATGTAAAACAATTATGAATGTCTGCAATGATAAAAAATGATATATACTAAATGTGTTATTAATGTAATTTTCTTAACAAATAAAGATGAATTACTAAATATACTTTATTTTAAAAAAAATTTATAAACTTTTTCTTAAATATTAATTAGTATGACAAAATTATCCATTTATTTGTAGTTATTTTAACTTTTAAAAATTTAATTAATTATGAAAATGTATTGTTGATATGCCCAAGGTTATCCCTTTCTCAAACTCTTCTCTCTCAAGAACCCAAAATCAAGCAGCTTTGGCGGTCATGAAAAAGGAAGTGCAGGCTTTAGTTTATGGAGTTGGCTTCTTCGACGAGCTTCAATCCCGCTCCGCCGTCCTTCCCTTCAACCTCTTTATACCCGACAAAAACGCCACCTCCAATCCCTCCAGTTCCAATCCGTAAACCTTTCTGCCCCATCATGTCAGATACGAAAAGACGCCTTTCTAAAACCCAAATCCAAATTCAGACGAACTCCAAATCTTTCGAACAAGAAGTTATGGGTCTCATAGGAGAGAGAGAAATCAATTTGAAGCAAAGAAGGGGTTGGGTTCGAGGGACGATGGAGATCGGCGAAGCCGTTTCTGGTTTGGTGATTAGAGAAGGTGGCAAAGCCATTTCAATTTGATGCATGCTTCCAGACGATGGAGACTCATGCTTCAAAAATGGTTTCTCAAAAAGATTGAATCCTTTTCTTATTTGTGTATTTGGAGGATCTGGAAGGAGAATAGGGATGCATGTTGGTGCAGTGGTGTTGGTCGGTGTTGAGCGAAAGTGGGCGGGATAGCAGCGGTCCTGCTTTGATACGAGAGGGTGAACGAGTGTGAGAGATTCCAGTTTGAGTACTAAGGACAAGACCTGTCATTTTGTTAAAATGACGAGAGTGTTATTAAACTTTAGAAAGTTTCATTAAAAGTGCTCTATAGCTCTGTGTGCTTTGAAAAAAAAAAAACCAATTTTCCAAACCAGCATTTAGCTGCTTCGGCTTTCCTAATGATTTCAGCTCTCAATCACCAAAGCTTCCAAAATAAATTTCTTTTTTTTTTTTTTTTTTTTTTTTTTTTAAGTTTACCAAACACCTTCAATATAAAAACTTTAAAAATAAGTAGTTTTTTTTTTAAGCACCTCAAAGCCAAACCAGAACTTATACTATTTACATCATACGTTTTTTATATTTCTACTTTTTCACTCTTCATCTCCATTAATTAAACCCCCCTGCCCCCCCTTTCGATTATCAACAACTCGGTACATAGATATATCAAAAGCTATTTCTGTTAGGAAATTATTATTGGTACTTCTAAATTCTCATTTTGCATTTCAAAGTTTTCATATTTAAAAATAAAATTACACTTTTAATGAATACAAAATGAAAAATTTAAAGTACAAATAACATTTCTTTTCGGTCATCAGATACATTTAATGCCTTGCTAATATATGGGCATGGATATTTTATGGGCCAGCAATGTTTTGTGCTTAGTGGGCATGGGAAGTCTATACCCAGCCACTCTTTCCCAAAGCCCATCACTAATTCAGCATATTGCTTGAAATTCTCACAAGTTAAGGGTGGGATGAGCAGAGCCATGGTCGGAAGATGGAGGGTAAGGATGTGTTAATTTTTTCACAGGAGCCAAGCGGGTTTCGGAACAAGGAATTAAGCACGTGCATTTGTAAGTATATAGTCTAGGTATGGACGGTCGTTCGTTCTTTGTACATCATCAACAATATATAAATATTATTATCGTTAATAAAACGTAATCACGTAAACTACAATTGTGATAACGAACATCATAACTTAAGATCTAAGTTTTATTTGTCTGTGTCATTTATGTTAAATGCTAAACACAATTAAAATAATATAATTATTAGGTGAGGTTTTTGAATCCCACACTATTTTATCACAATTGCAAAATCGTTAACCACCAACCTTGCAGAAGAGCGGTACCCTTTTGCTGTCGGGTGTTATCGCCGTTACTAAGAGGGAATGGTATGCATTTGATCACAAATTAAGGCGGTGATGGTGGTGGGAACGCCGGAGGCGCTCACTGAGGTTGGACGGCCATACAAAGAAAGGAGTCATATCTCTCTTGCTCTTAAATTCTTTATAACCGTATGACATTATTTTACTCTCTTAATAACGAGGTAAAATCATTTTCTAGTACAAATGTTACAATTGAAATAGCATCTTTAGAGTCATTATAGGGTGGCTCAGTGACTAGGGACAAATTATAGACAGGTCATTCTAGGTTTAATTCTTAACGCTGATGAATCATATGACCCTAAACCCTATACCTCTTTGAGTCTTTTTGGCCCTCGAAAAGGTAAACTGCCGTGGCGAAGCTACCAATTAGTCAATTTTAGAAAAAAAAAATTTATCGTTTTTAAAAAAATTCATTCGATTTGGAAAAAGGTGTATTCATTAATTGAATCATACAAAATGAACGTTCGTCCTGAATATGTTACTTATTATCATAAATTGACTAAATAATATATAATTTGAATGAAATTTTCTAAAATTAATGACAATATTATTTATAATATTTATATGGTGAAATACCATCAAGTTGTCAAAGAGTCGAATATTGTCCTTATAAAATCAATTAGTTGAATAAAGAAATGATTTCAACATTAGACTTTCATTTGCCCAAACATATTTTAATTTCGATCTGTCACTACCCATTAGTCACTAGAACAAATGAGCCATGACAAATTCCATAAACGTATGGAAAAAAACAACACTAAAAGTAAAGCTGATAAAATCTTCTATTTTCCTTGATTTATTAATCTGTCACCTTCAGAAGAATTTTCAAAAAAAAGACTAAAGTTAGTAATTAATTTTTTTAATAGAATTTTGTGGGACCCCAGACCGCTAATTACCATTCAAAGACATGAACCACAAGCCACTTTTGTGGTATTGGATTGGCCAAATTTCAATTATCTGGGATTTTGTAGGAATCATTATTTGATAATTATTTTGTTCCAACGCATGGTCCAAACGGCCATTAATTTCAATCTAAGAGGTAGGACGATTTTGATTTAGACTAATCACCCAAAACTCAAATCCAATTGTTAATTATTAGTTTATTTGTTTTCGATTAATTTTGGTGTTTAAACAAAGACATAGTTTGCTAAATATGTCTTATGCTTTGTATGAACGGAATGGAAGAGGGTCATTGAATTGATATTTCAACGAGAAATTTGTCGATTTGAACATAGAACTTCCTCTAGCAAAGTGAACAAATCGTGGCTCAGCATCCATAAGAATGGTTGTGGGATTTTGAGGGCTGAATATAGAAATTTAAGATGAATATCTTGTGAATGACGACCGTTACAAAAACGATAAAAGTAGTACCAGATGCAATTCAATCTAATTAATTTTTATTTTGGTTTGAATAAACCACGATGTCAACTATTATATTCTTTTTATTTTTCATGCACTTCTTTTTTGTTTGATTCTTTTTTATTTGATATGGATATTTGATTTAAGGTTGTGCTGCCCACACATTTTTTTTTATTTTTTACCTTTTACATATTATTCTTAATTTTTGATCGTCATAAATTAAAAAAATATCAAAGGATCAAATGAATTGAAAAAGATCAAATGACAAAAATTAATAATAGTGTAAAAAAAAAAAAAAAAAAAAAAAGTAGATAACACAATTTTTGCTTTAAACTTTTTAACTTTACAAAATTGCACTTGGATTTTTTTTCTTGACAGAAAATTGCATTAGATTTTTATTTTCGTTCACACTCCCTTCTATATGAATTTGGTCGGAAAAAATCAAAGTTACATATTGTATGAATTTGTATACTTCCAAGTTTCTTCCTTTCTTAAAAAAATATTGTCCACAAACATATCGATATTCTCGAATCAAATAATTCATATTTTCCATTAACAAAGAATATGAATATTTGCTTAGTTGGGAAAGAGGGGGTGACACATGTTGACATGCGCACCCACTCACACCTAAACTTTCCAACTCAGTATCCACACACGACACCGTTTCCAACAATCAACACACACCGTGCATTTTTCCAAACTTCTCCGCCTGCGATCTACGTCAGATCTACCAGTCTACACGGTCAGATTCCACTTTTAGAACCCCAAACTACCCCTACCGCACCTCAGCGTCTCCATCCAAACGGACCAGGAAAACCCCTACAATTACAAGGGCACATCCGGTGTAATAAAATTCCGAAAGCGACCCGACCCTGCGAGCCCTTTTTAATTCCCAATGCCCCTGCTGTCGAACCCTTCTCCCAAAACCGTGCCCTCTTTCGCCATTTCACACCACGCTCGTTCCTCCCTCCCCCTCTCTGTCTTCCTGCATGCTCCAGCTCTTTGTATTTCTTTGAAAATCTCTGGCCTTTCGTTCTCCGAAAACGCATTTCCAAAAACCCTTTTCAAACTCCGTTTCCGTCTCCAAAACCCAGTTTTTCGTTTCTGAAAACGGTCGGAAAACAAAACCCAAGACCCTGTAGGCATTGAAGCATTTGAAGAGTTCGATTCGGAAACAGATACAGAAACCCTTCAGAAATCCGAGTGTTTTCCTCAAAAGGTAAGAACTGCGCTGCTTTTAACCTTTCCTGCTGGGTTTTTAGCTGCCCATTTTTGTTTATTTAATAAGAAACTTAATTAGTGCATTTAATTCATATTTTAGGGGTTTGTGAAACGGTTTTTTCTTCATTATTTGTCTCTTTTTAGCTTTTAATTAGAGCTAAGGTCGGTGATTTTTTTTTTTATATATATTCCTCAAAATCCAAACGCTTTTTTTGAAGTTTTTCTGTTCATTTCTTCGATTTTTGCTTCTGGGTTTCTAAGAACACTTGTTGTTTTCTCATTGGAAAGAAAAAACACAAAGTAAGTTGCTTTTTTAATTTATTTTTCAGAAAATATAAATTATTTATTTAATTTTTTTTTCTTCAGTGTTTCTGATTTCTGGGTTTGTTTTGCAAGGTAGGAAAGACACCATTTCTTCCTCCGGCGGGTTGTCTTGTCGACGTCGTCGTTCTGTTCGCTTGAGATTTACGTTACAATGAAGAGAAACTGAAACTGATCGCATTTTCTCGTGATATTTCTAAGGTCTGTTGAATTGTATTTTACGCGAGATATTGTGTGGTTGACCAGTTAGTGGTCAAAGCAAGGCTTGGTTTATGATTAATGACATGATTAATTACTGGTTTGGGGCCTTTTTTGCCCATGATTATAGGGTTAGGTTCTGCTAAAGTGTTTGCAGGACCAGAATAGTGGTCCTGGAAAACCACCCCTTCCCTCTTTTCTCTGTGTTTCCATACTTTGCATTTGTGATATGGTTTCTGTGTTTGCCAATGACTTTGCTTTGCTATATCTGTGTGGGACCCCCACCCTTTTGCTTTTACAAATCTTATTGCTAAGAATAGTAAGAGATTTGTGGTGTCCAGCTTGTGGGGTTCAATGCAAGATCTATAATCTTTTGTTCAACACTCATTTGAGGTCTTTTAGAGTTCATGTTAAGATTAGCATGTCAATATTTGGTAGTGCTATTTGTTACCACATTTACTGATCCACTTACTAATTACTGTCTTTCGTTAAGTGGGGTTTCCGCGAAACCCACTTTTGCGAGCGGATCTCAGCTGTGAGAGATGAGGTTGGCAATGTAATCAGTAATGTGATAGTGTGACAACGACACTTGTTATTTGAACTCGGTCAATTAAATTAGAAACATGGTTAAGTGTGGCATTGAAATTTTGAGATTTGTGGAAACCTGTATATGTATAATCTAACTTAACCTATATTTGTTTAATCTTTGTAATCTAGCTTCTTTTTAACATTAGAAACATTTATGGGTTAATGCAATGAGTCACAAACCCTAGACGTGTGGGGTAGGAATGCAAAAAAGGAAAGGAATCCGGATCTCTTCCATCTAATCTTCCTCATCAAACTCATCAAACAATCTGGTCTTGAAATTTGATACAACGGTTAAAGTTCTTATAATTTTCAAAGTGGGCTCATGTTTTTAACTATTGGATTAAATTTCAAGGACCCGGATTGTTTGATGAGGAGGATGAGATGGAGGGATCTAGAGGATCCCTTTCCTGCCAAAAAAAAAAAAAAAAAAAAAAAATGGAGGGAGACGAGGTTTGTGAGTCACAAACCCTAGACGTGTGGGGTAGGAATGCAAAAAAATGGAGGGAGACGAGGTTTGTGAGTCACAAACCCTAGACGTGTGGGGTAGGAATGCAAAAAAATGGAGGGAGACGAGGTTTGTCAGTATACGGGGAGCAGGAAAAATGTGGCAGTGGGAATCAAATATTTGCCCGTTGGATTACAATAATAATCTGCATGTCATGTACAATCTGGCTCAGATCTCTATGAGTTTTTTCTGTGCCATGAAGTGTTATCCAGTGGGGGTGATTGTGTAATTTCATGTTCTTACATGGTAATGGTCTGATGCATTTGGGGGTGGTTGGAGGGCAATGAAAAGAATCCACCGCTTTTGGGTGTACTAAAAACCATGATTGCGGATTGTGGATTGTGGTGTAGATGATCCAAAATTCCTAATAAGATTATCACTATGATGGGTCCCACGAATTTCAGATTTTCTGGTTTTGCAGAGATTACTCTTTAGGACCTCACTGTTGTTCTAAGTGGGGTGCCTAAGGGAATCCTAGGGTGGATGCCCTTTGTTTTATTTTGTATATCGAGCTCGGGACCTCGGTTGCAAGGGCAGAGTGTTCTTGACCAACCGAGCTACTAACCCTTTGTGCTTGTGTTTTTTGGTTAATTTGGTTAGACAAGGTTTTTTGTGTCCTGCAATTACATTTCTAACTCTTATGATCTTCTACGTGTTTACTCATCGCACACTGGGAACTTACTTGAAAGACCTAATTGAGAATGCGTTTCTAACTTTTGGAATTTTGACTTGGAGAAAGACTTAGGCAACCATTGATGTGTGCACCGTGGGTCCGACGGTGGGGGCCCACAAACACAAAAAAGGGTTTGGAAATTAGCTCCTTTTTTATTTTCTAAGATGAAGGGTGCTCTGCACTTACCTAAATTTTGTTGACTTGAATAGCAGGAATGACCTGACGGTAGAGTTGGGGAGAGAATGATAAAGAATGTCAAGAACAGGAATCACCACTAACCATGCCCTCCAAATTCTAATTAAGTTATTAAAAAGTGTATTATTGTTTAATCTTTGATCTTTGGTCTGTTTCGAATTTAATATCACAATGCATGTGCCATTGTAACCGAGGTTCCTAGTGTTCCATTGATTTGCATTTAGAATTTTGATTTATACGCGTCTTTTGATCCTGTCTGCTGAATATCTCTTCCATAGCTTCTCCCTCTTCGTGTTCTTCACTCTGCATTGCTTTCGCTTTTTCCCGCGTTTTCAAATCTACTTTTGTTACACTTTCGAAAGAAAGCAAATCGGAAACTCTTAAAAGTTGAAAGAGCAAAACTAAAAGAAACATTCCCTCCTCTATCAATGGCCGTGGTCTAAGTGTTAAAGCATATTGCTTTTTTACCTTTCCTTCAACACTCTCATCATTGTCATCATTAGTATCCCCGTATCTTTATTCCTTTTGGTTCTTTAAATTTCTTTTTTTGGATAGAATCTCTTAGATCTTCATCACTCTATCTATCCCCTCTCCATCATTTGTGATCTTTGTTTTGCAGATGGATGTGGTGAGACCGTCATCTGTGACCCCGAAGAAGAGTAGATTGGCACGTGCTATTGCTAAAGTTCTTCATCTTCGGGCTGCAACAGGTATTGCCCCAGTCGATGGGGTTCAGAAAGTCAAGTCCCAAGAATTCAGAATTCCAAAGGTTAAGTCCCAAGAATTCGGAATTCCAAAGGTTAAGTCCCAAGAATTTGGAATTCCGAAGGTTAAGTCCCAAGAATTCAGAATTCCGGAGGTTAAGTCCCAGGACTTCGGAGTTCAGAAGTTTAAGTCCCAGGAGTTCGGAATTCAGAAGGTTAAGTCCCAGGAGTTCAGAGTTCAGAACGCAAAGTCCCAAGAATTCAAAGTTCAGAAGGTTAAGTCCCAAGAATTTGGAGATCATAAGGTAAACTACCAAGAAAATGGAGTGCAGAAGGGGAAGTCTCAAGAAATTGGAATTCAGAAAGTCAAGTCCCAAGAAAATGTAAAAAATGACCGGAATGGTGGTAAGGTTATGGTTGGTCAGTCTGAGTCATTTGACAAGAACAATGAGGAGCTTCAGGAAAGAGTCGCCCTTGAGGCTCTTCTAGCGAAACTGTTTGCAAGCGTTTCATCTGTTAAAGCTGCGTATGCACAACTACAGTATGCTCAGTCTCCCTATGATGGTGAAGGAATCCAAGCTGCTGACAAAGAGGTAGTCTTCGAGTTGAAGAACTTGTCTGAGTTGAAGCGGTGTTTCTTAAAAAAGCAGTTTGATCCTAAACCTGAGACTACACTGGTTTTGGCTGAGATCGAGGAGCAGAAGAGCGTTCTAAAAACCTATGAAATCATGGGGAAAAAGTTGGAATCTCAGGTGAGGCTTAAGGACTCTGAAATTGTGTTTCTTGGAGAAAAGTTAGAGGAGGCCAAGAATCAGAATAAGTTGCTTGAGAGAAGTTTAAACCAGAGTGGGCAGCTACATGTGTTCGACAATCTTCAGTTATCTGGTTTAAGTCCTAACCATTTCATTGCAGTTCTCCGACACACAGTAAAGTCCATTCGGAGCTATGTTAGGATGATGATGGATGATATGAAATCTACCGGTTGGGACATTCATGCAGCAGCTAAAGCGATTGACCGCAATGTGGTTTATTGGAAAGAAGACCACAAGTGTTTTGCATTCGAACACTTTGTTTGCAAGGAAATGTTCGATGCTTTCCAGCACCCCAACTTCTCACTCCCAAATGAGTCCTTGCCAGAGAAAAAGAAACAACAGCAGCAGCTCTTTTTTGTGAGATTTACGGAGCTCAAATCAATGAGGCCGAAGGAGTACCTTGCCCAGAATCCCAGATCAGCATTTGCTAAGTTCTGCCGTGTCAAGTACTTACGACTGGTTCATCCCAAGATGGAAACATCATTTTTCGGCAATCTGAATCAAAGAAACCTCATCAATGCAGGTGAGTTTCCGAGCTCTAATTTCTTTACTTCGTTTGCTGAAATGGCGAAACGTGTCTGGCTACTGCATTGCTTGGCCTTCTCCTTCGATCCTGAAGCCGCAATCTTCCAAGTAAGCAAGGGATGCCGATTTTCAGAAGTGTACATGGAAAGCTTAGCTGACGAAGCGTTTCTCTCAACAACATCTGAACCGCAGGTGGGATTCACAGTTGTTCCGGGATTCAGACTCGGTAAAACTGTCATTCAGTGCCAAGTTTACCTCACTCGGTTGCAATCCACTCCGGGAAAGCAGAGGTAAACCGTGATTGATCGTCGGCGAACCTCGGGCCCCACAACAGTTTACCAAACAGGAAAACGGCCTGTTTGGATCTCGGGACGATGTTGCGGGGTCCTTCCAACTTGGTCCCCTTTGGTAATTTCAACCTCCATACTTTGAAAAAGGGAAAGCGCGTTGGACCGTTGTGTTGGAAGCTACCTTTTGAATCTTTCTTTTTTTTTTTTTTTGGTTTTTTTGCATCATGCCCTTCTAGTTTTTTAAATTTTCTTCCAAGGACATTCCAAAATTTTGTTAATATTAGGTCGGTGACAGAGGGATTGTCTAGCTGTTTTGCATCATTGTTAACCGGACATGGGCAGGTTTTTTTAATTATGTAAATAATAATATATAGTCGGAAATTTTTATGTTCCTTTTTCTTTTACTTGTCTCCCTGCTTTTCATTTGCACTAAATGGTTGCAATGGATTGGTATGTCATACATGTTGCATGGTCAATTTGGGTTGGCCCATCGTTGACTCGGAGATTCACATTAATCAACAAATTAACTGTGACGCTCGTGTTGTGAAATTCAAATTAGTCATTTAGCGATTCACAGTTGTTTATCATTACATGTAACATCAATCTATGAGTGGATAGTGGCAAATTTACGACTTTCAGTCTGATTTGTATTAATTAACAGTTTACAGTCGTTCATCACCAAAGATGGCATGAGTTTACTTGTAAACGATGACATATGTCTACATAAAGAACATTAGTCTATGAGTGGACAATGACATTCGTTTACAAAGTTCAAATGTGTAAAATTTTATTGATCAACGGTTTACCGTCGTTCCACATTACAAGTGGCATTTAGTCTACTCGTAGATGATAAACGTATAACAACGAGTATTCATCGCGCGCACTCTTAAAAAATTGTGGAATTTACATTAATCAATTAGCGATTCACTAGTCGTTTAACATTGCACGTGACATCAATCTATGAGTGGATGGCGGCCATCAATCTACGAATTTCAATCTATGAGTGGACAGTGACATCAATCTACGACTTTCAGTCTAACTAACATTAATTAACAGTTCATAGTTATCCATAATTGTAAATGGCATGAGTTTACTTGTAAACGATGACATGGTTATAAAGTTCAAAACGTGTCAATTTTTATTGATCAACAGTTCACAATTGTGTCACATTACAAGTATCATTAGTCTACTTGTAAATGATAACAATATAACCACGAGTATTCGTCGCACAATCTCTTGAGAAATTAGGGAAAAAACCTTTTTTTGGGTTTACTATATTGAAAATCAATGTCACCTTCATTGAACCGAGCAAAGCTGATTTTATTTCTATGCACTCTGCAATATGCATGCATGACCAATTGATGCATGATACACATTGGTCTATAAAACAAACAATAAAAAAATAATAATGCACCACTTGAGGGGGTCCCACACAGTACGCCGACTTGCTATTTAATTGTATGTGGCTGGTCGGTGGATATGGAGGGCCATTTTATTGGCCAATTTGTCTTATTCCTCTGTGGAAGAGTTTATGTGGCAGTTGCGTAGAGCCTTTGATCACGCGGTGTGTTCCCCTCACCCTATGCAAAAATACTTGATTTTGCCATTGGCTAGTCATTTTTGCAGGCAGGGTCACATGATTTGGTTGTGGAAAATGATGGAATTAATTAGATTTCGGCAGTTGTGGCATTAACTATGGGAGACACATTGACATGCCATATACCCTCCTGGCAGTGAAATTTCTAACCCTATCACATAATGTCTTCAGATTCAGATAATTGTCGATAATATAACTAGTAAATCAACTGAGTGGTATTCTGCTTGTTTGAAACTGTTTTTTTTATTTTTTATTTTTTAAGTAACAATTCTCCCTATAAGCACTTTAGTAAAATCGTTTTGATTGTAAGTATATTATAATTTTAATAAAAATTCAAGAGCCTAGTGAAAAAACACTTAAAATGCTTTTTAAAATTAAAAAAAAATTTAAAATTTAGTATAAGTTTGAGATACTATCATCTTAAAATTTTAATTCTATGTAAATTTTTCTCGTGAGTAACTGACAACTATCGATGCCTATATTGCTTGGATTTCACTGGAAACAGTCGCGCATGCATGTTGTCAATGTCCTTATGGCCTAAATCTAAATGGTTGAGATACCTAAATTTGCATCAATAGTCAAAAGTCGTGTACTTATCCTTTCACCATCTTTACCGAGTGCATATCTGTGTACAAGTAGCTCCAGAGGAGGTTGACGGCAGGAATTATAATAATAATTTTTATTATTATGTCATGATATTACACTAAAATTTTTGGAATTGGATTCGTTTTGGACCTTAGTGTTCAGAGTTTAAGGATCAATTCATCTGGACCGTTGATTGGTGTGTAAAAAAAATCAGAGCCGTTGGTTTGTGTGTGGTGGGTTAGGAAAATGAGTTAATAAAGACCGTTAGATTCAATTTGTGCGGTTCAGATTAATTGATCCTTAAGTTCCGAACACTAAGGTCCAGGATCCAATTCTAAAATTTTTTGCCCGTTAGTTCGGGATATGATTTGAGGTATGCATTATGAACGTCTCATATCAGATGATGGGGATTTTTGCAGTGTTCAATTTGAATTTTCAAGACACGTCGAATTTTTGAAGGCTCATTCTCAGTGTTTCCTTCCTCATCTCATTCTCATGGTGTTCTTACGGTGCTCAATTGAACAGGTGCTGCTTTATGTGCAGCTGATAATTTTACATGAGTCACCAACAGAGTCGGTAGGATCGAAAACTATACATGGCACTTTAACGAGTATTACGTAATCTAGTTACATTGTTATTTTTAAAAACTATATATCTTTTCAAATTAAATAAGAAACAACCTCTGAAAAGCTAACGGTAAGTATAAACAATCTCATCCTTAGCTAATGACATTTCGTAACTTCTGGTAAGCACTCGTCATTACACTGTTCAGTGTATATGGTGAAGCAATATTCTAGAGAGAATCATTATAACAGAAAAATGTACGATACCATACCACGATGTGTTCAATGCAACGCGAAATCTATGAGTGATACTTAAGGAAACAATTCATATACCTTTCTCGTCTTCATCTAACCCTTTAATTTGAGGTTTGATGCAGGGGCGGAGTCACATGGATGCCACTATAGGCTGAGGCCCGTGCTGAAGTTTTATGTTATATTTATTGACTACTGGGTTTAACAATAAAGAGCTTGTAGTGCATTGGTGAGTGGTGTTTGACAGTTTAGGCAAACAAACAAGAAGTTTCACAAATTCTAAGAAATTAATTTCATTGTTTCAAATTCCATCATTTCGAAATTTCTTAGTAATACTAAATGAAAAAATGCTAGCAACCTTCTCATTTAGTTTTGAGTGCTGGTGGAGTACACCTGAGAAGAAAAGTGAAAAGCCTGAAATAAGAAAGTTGCTGGTCCTCCCATCTTAAATTCCTTCGTCCAAACTGATTAGTGACTACATTGCGCACATCCACATAAATGGGAAAGGTAGACTCACATAGTTTTGCATGAACTTGTGTCGAATTTCTTCGCCATGATTATTTAAGGAGAGCCAAAAACAATACAAAGTTATGTCACTCATGTTCCATCAGAACAGAAAGGATTCCGTTCACTTTTGGTAATGGTCTAACCTTTTGCTTTGAGTTCCACAAGTTCAATTTGGCAAGTTTTTGATGCCCTTGGGAACTTTGAAAACTCCTGCTCCAACTCCATTTGTTTTTCCATAGGGATACTTCTGGTATAAACTATCACTTTCTTCAAAACTACACCATGCTCCAGCATGTACTTTGCCACTTCCATCTCATCTGGCCGCCATTTGTATCCTCGTACGGAAATAGACTTCAGGCTTGACAACAAACAAATAGGCACGATGCTCGGTGGACACCATTCATGGAGCTCATTCTTGGCATCAGCAGTATAACATTCGACGTTCTAAGCATATTAAAAGAAACATTAATGAGTTAAAGATATTCTTTGAAAACTGTATACAAGTAACCATGCGTATACCACGAGCGTAATCTTTTCTATGTGCTTACATTTTCAAAGACTAGATTCTCCAGATTGGGTGAGATCTCGAGCAACTTTATCAATGATTTCCAGGGGCAGCACGTTTTAAGAAGTACTTCCAAGTGGTTCAAATTATAAAATGTAGGCAGCAGACGTTGAAATTTAGGATCAGAATCCTACAAGAATGACAAAGAAAATAGATGTATCAAAATGACTTGATCACAATTTAAAGACTTCCTCAAAAAATGCAGCATTGCCATCGATTAATTTCAGCATGTAAACAAGAAGGTCATTGGGGACGAAGAGAAACAACTTAGAGAATACTTACTCTCAAAATTGGAGCTGAAAGAGAGAGAGACTTGACATTCATAATTCCTGCAAAAAGCCTATGCATGCGAGCAGCATAATCATTGTCGAGGTGATCATTCTGAGATCTCTTATGAATTTGGACAGCAATCTTGGCTGTGCTTAGGGATTTTTCGTTCTTCAACGCATAGTCCACCAAAAAATTGTCAAAGAGATCCAACTTTTCAAGATGTGGAGCATTAATATTAATAGAAACGTAGTTCTTAGCACCACGCCGCAAACATATTCGTAACCTTCTGAGTTTAGGTGCCGAGACAGTGAAGGTCAAGACGAGACGTTCTTCTCTGGTGATTTTTGAAATAAGTCCATCTATAACCAAATCTTCAAGTGCTGGACAACATGAAAAAAGTTTCTTCATTGAGTCAGCATTCGGGCAACAGACTGTAACATGGAGGATTTTGAGATGTAGAAAACAATCAGAGTTTGAGGGAATAGCAATTAGATTGAATTGCAGCCTCAGCTTCAAAACCGACAAAGTCTTGCACTTGAAAAGGCTTTGAGGAAACTCATAAAGCTTCCCTGGACTTGGAAACAAATAAAGGAGGAGCTCAACAACATTACGCCTAAGGGCAGTGCAAACCCAATCATGAACACGAGAAAAATAACCATCCACCCCGTAACATACAAGTTCGAACCGCTGAATGCTTGACGATCCACTATGGGAAAGTACTTGATCCACAAATCCTGCACTACGGCCTTTGTCAGATTCCGGGTTTTGTACATTGAACTTAAGAGTAGGAAAAGAAACCCACACATCCTTCCATCTGTGTGATAAACCGCTGGTCTTTACAGTCTCGGTTATATCAAGGAAGGAAAGAATGTGACAAAGAATGCCATCTGGTAATCTACTGATCCTATCTTCACTGCGCGATTGACAAGGCATTGAGTTCGAACCCATCTAAGATGTGCTAGATATATATCCTGAAAAATATAAAATGTTAGGTTGTTGATCGAAACCTTTGTATTCAATTGGGAATTTGAAAGATTTTAATGGATTTTTATGGAGTTTAACTGCATTGTAGAGATTCTATGTAAAATTTTGATTCAATTCCCTTGAAATCTCATGGGAAGAGGTGAGATTTGTGGATGCTTAAAATACACTACAAAATCTCTCAAATTCCGTCTAATTCCTCAATTTTTTCAAATTCTGTAAATTATAATTCTAATTGAATACATATGGAATGTTATAAACTTCTTTAAAATTTTAATTGAATATACCCAGATTTCTACGAATTTTAATAAACTATCTTAAAATCCTTATTGAATACACATTGAATTTCAGAGAATCACTTAAAATCCTAATTGAATACCCCTAGATTCATTAAAAAAATTAAAATCCTTCAAAATCCCAATTGAATACACCCCCCTTAATCAATATTTAACAATCTAGCTACTCTAGAAATTAAAAGGCAATATCCCAAAGGATTTTCAGTATATATGTTTTAATTAGCTTTCGATTAAACAGGAGAATTATAAGTGGCAGTATGCACCCATGTTTTCTTTTCGTTTATCTATCTACGTTTCGTTAAACTGTTATCCAAACAGATCAGAATGTAGAAAGGAAAAAAAAGTTCAGAGTGTAGAAAAAAAACCTGGATATTGTTCTCGATTTGTCGACCCAATATGATTTTAGCTTTTGTGCCCTAATTTGTTTGCCAGCTGAAAGAGTATAAAAGAATTGAATACATATCACATCGTCGGGCTTATAATGAACTGAAAATATAAGGAGCAAACCGGATAGAACTTTAAACCTAATGAAAATCTACAGCCCTAAACACAATTAATTAGGCAGCTGCGTCTCTCATTGCCGCAGATCGCACTACCAGTCTGCACCATATCCATGGTATAACCAATCGATTTTTTTAAGGGGTTTGATGGTTTTGTGTTCTTCAAATTCCCTAATATCATAGGGTTTGATGCCCCATCAGATTTAGCTTGTGATCTACCAAAGGGTGAGGAGAAATTTTGTAGTAATCAAATGAGGAACCAAATCAACTATTTAAATGATATTTGAGGAACACCACAAAGAATAGAAAACCACGAGTTTAATGATATCTGATATGATTACCATGTTTTGTTGGTTGAAAAAAATATGCATAAAAAATCTTTGTTATCCAAGTAATACATTTATAATTAGGAAATTATTTAAAAGATATTGTCGAATTCTACACAATCTATTAAGATTTACACAATCACACTTTTAAAAATTAGGATTGCAACAAAACCATTTTTTTTAAAGTTTAATTTAATTTAATTTATCTTTGTTTACAATTAATCATCTAATATCAGGTAAGGTTGATGAGATCATTTATTTAAGTCATATAACGTAGTTGTTGATGATTAGATTAAAGTTAAATTTGGTCTACCTAGCATTATACAACTTCATATTACATTTTTTATTTTTTATTTATTTTTTTTAAAAAGGGGGACAACTGGTGGCAAATCCCAGTTATCCATCCGTTCTGGGGGCTGGAAAGACTTACAAAGGCATTTTAGCATTCCCTTGGCCACAAGTCTGGCTTCCATATGAGCAGCGGGTTTCGAACCTAAGGCCTCAAGTTTTTAATTTGAAGAAAGTCTTGCAATCCATCATTTACCATTGGATCACCAGCTCGTGGTTATATTACATTACAATTTAACTTTGTCAACTTTCACCCACTTGTTCATCAAACAACGGCAATCGACAAAACGCATACCTGCTTTTCGAGGCCACTATCATCCTTTTACTGGACTAGGTCTAATTTGATGAGTTTTAGAGAAAATTGAGGGGAACTGCAGAGCCTCTCAAGGGAGAAAAGATCATATGATTAGCACCATTATCTTGTGTCAAATGAGTAATGTAACATTTACTATTTATTTGTATCATAACTTGTACAATCTCTCTAATAGAGGTAGAGCTCGCCAACACATATGAGTCTCATTTATATTAGAAAGATGATACAAATGATGATACAAGTAGATAATAAGAATTGCATTTTTTGGCGTCAAATTTAGAACTCCTTGTATAGGTAATCATAAAATATAAAAAATAGTCTACGAATATCCAATTGGAATAGTCACCCAGATTAAAGAGATTCTCAATCTCGGTCGTTGGATGAAAGAGATTCTTAATCTTAGTCCATTCTTAATGAACAATACTTAGTTACTTAAGGATGAGCATGACCTCTTACTCAAAACTCTTTGTGTTCAAATCACATAGTTTTGTACTTATATCAGAACTGTTTATATTATGAAACACATTGTAAATGTTATCTCTCTAAAAAGTGAATTAAAAATAAAATCGTTTAGTCAATCTATAATAGCAAATACAGAGACTATTCGTAATGCTTTTACCAATTTCGTTCATCTGTTTTTATACAGTTCGATGATTAAACGATCTTAATTTTAATTGATTATTTGAAAAGACAATCTTTATAGAATGATTTATAATATAAGCGGTTCTAATCATAAACGTAAAATTCTATGAGTCGACAACGAGCAGTTTTGAGTAAAAACTCCTACTCATCTTTTGAGTAGTCAAGTATTGTTCATTCTTCATTCGTCACTAAACTTCATATTGGTGAGGTGTTGAGCTTCTGTTGTGCTTATTTTTATTTATTTATTTATTTATTTTTGAAGATTAACCTTTATTTTTATTAGTCTATTGATTCAAATTCCTAACTTACATACTTTTGGATAATACATGTGTTCTTCATATGGGGGAATCCAGGAATGCACATATTCCTTCATTTGTGAATAATGTATCTTCACCATATAAACTTTGTAAATAGAACCATTAAATTTATAAATCTTCATTTGAATATCATTCATATAAAAAAATTAATCAATCAAAGATCGTTCATCATGAATATGTTACCTGGTACTCGCACCTTCAATTTGTTCTATAAATTTGGATGACTGAACGTTCTTTTATTCAAATAATTTTTTAAAGATGATCTTCAAATAAATATTATAATTCCAATTATGAAAATATATATGGTGAAATATACATTATTCAGGAATAAGTTAAGTCCTCATGCTTCTATTAATTTACACATGAGTATAGGAAGTGTACTATATTGTTTTAATCAACTAGACTAAGTTAAGTCCAAATACTTCTATCAATTTACACAGGCCAACAGGAAAGTTGATGGGATCTAATGAGAAGGAGCACATTGGCTATTTGAAAATAGTTTTCCACCAAAAAAACAAAATAGAAGAGGAGGAAGAAACTCAAGTATATATAACTTTAATAGAAAATAATGCATCCATTTCAAACAAATTCAACAAGGGTTGTGATATCCTCACACTTCTTTTTACTTCTCACAAACTCCTTATTAATTTCTTTCATTTTATCCTCTTCAATTCATTCGATTCAATGATTGGAAATTAAGAGGGTGTGTGAGAAGTTAAAAAGAGTGTGTAGATAGCACACACCATTCAACAATTGAGATACAAGGTTGTCAACTGGCGAAACATCGCATAAGTGCATGACGAAAATAGATATTGTCTCCTAAGTTAACGGCAAATATGTTCCCAAAATATTAGTCCTCCAAAATTAACGATGCTAAACAGAAAACATAAAGAAAGTTGAAAACAGGTGCAGATAAATTCATGGTTTACAACAAAGAAAGGCAAAGGACCCATTCCTCGAAAATGGAATCATATAAAAACCTAGATGTCATTTCTCCAGGAAATCAATTTGACAAGTCATCGAACCCTTTGAGAACATTGAAATATCTTGACATAGCTTCATCTTGTGATCTGCACGAACGGCACTCGTATAAAATGTCACCTTATCCAGGACTTCACCGTGCTTCAACAAGTACTTTGTCACTTCCATCTCATCATGCCGCCCCTCGATTCCCTGTATGGATATAGTCTTCAAGTATGACGACAAGCAAACAGGCACAAACTCAGGTGAAACCCATTCACGTACCGAGTCCTCCAAGGGATGATCCGCCTTACATTTCTTGTTCTAAAGATTATTACAAAAAATAACGAGTGAAGTTGAAATGTTCGAAAAATTCAACACCCTTATTTACCATTCATTTAGATTTTAGAGCAAAGGTAAATCCACAAATACTTACAGTTGTGAAATCAAGATATTCCAGATGGGGCGACATATTGAGCAGATCTATGAGAGCTTTCCAGTTGCAGCAAGTGTCAAGAAGTAACTCCAAGTGGTTCAAACGATTCAGTTTAGGGAAAGGGAAATTATCTTCAGTGTAACAGCCAGGATCCTACAGTAATCATGAAGTATTAGAGGGCAATCCAATATTTCATGAAAATTTAAATTCCAGCAAGTTAAAAGGCTATCAAACACTAATAAGGGAGTAAGTTGAAGTTACAGAAAACTTACCCCAAAAATTGGAGCTGAAAGTGACAGAAATTTCACATTGATAATTCCGGCAAAAAGCTTCTGCAGACGGTAATCCCAACCAAGTTCATAGTCATCGTGCCCAGACTTGTGCACATATTCGAGATTAATGTTTACTTTGCTCGGTAGATTTGCATTGAGGTAATAGTTTGCAAAAAAGTCTTCCTCGAGATCAAAAGTTTCAAGATTTGGAGCATTGACTTCGAAAGAAATATTGGACCCAGTTTCTTCCCACGGTTCGTCTTTGACCAAATATATTTTGAGTCTTTTCAGTTTAGGTGCAGAGATATTAAAGTTCAAAACTTTACGAACTGCAACAAGTCCATCTATGATTAAATCTTCGAGTGCAGGGCAAGAATAAAAGAGCGTCTCCATTGAGTCAGCATCAGGATTGCGGATTCTGGCATGGAAGAACTTCAGATTTGGGAAACAACCTGAAGTAGGAGTAAAGGTAACATTCGATTCCAGCCAAAGCTTCAAAACCACCAATGTCTTGCACGTGAGAAGGTTATCGGGCAACTCAAACGGGTAGCTTAAAGAATGAAGAACAAGTTCGAGTTCAACAACCTTAAGCCTAATGGCAGTGCAAATCCAAGCTTCAACACTAGGATAATTCTCCACTCCAGTACAAGAGAGACGGAATGTATGAATGTCAGATGAGCCACGAATGACGAGTGCACGATCCACAAACTCCGCAAAACCACGATCTCGGTGGAATCTATGAGTGAAGAGGCGACGACCCACAAACTCAGCGAAACTGGGGCCAACTGAATTCAATGCTCTTTGCGAGCTCTTATCACAAAGGTCTAGAGTGGGAATAGGAGCCCACACAAACCTCCATCTCGGTGATAAAACACTGGTCTTTACAGCTTCTTTTGTTGGAAGGAGGGAAAGGATGCGGCAAAGAATTTCATTTGGTAAACTACTGATCCTATCTCCATTGCATGCATTGGGAAGCTTTGACTTTGAGTTGGTACCCATTTACAAAATGATACGTTTGCTGAAAAAACGTACATAATACGTTGAATAGATGACACTATATAAGACTTGGCGCAATGCTTTTTAGTTTTTCTAGCATCCGAACTGAAAATGTAGGATGTAATTTAATAGGTAAACAAGGCATATTGTGAACAGAAAATAGAAACTAAAACAAGTAAAATGATAAAAGATAGATACATGGGGCTATTAGCTTAAGTGCTCAAAATGTTACAACTTACACCTAAAGTTTGGCATTTAAATCTTGCCTCTCGTAAATTCACTTGTATAAAAAAAAAAGATAGATCTAAAACATATAACAACTTTTAGACCGCCTCTTTGTAGAATTCTCATAAAATAATACATAATAGAATAAAGAATCTTACAACAAAAGTTAACTAAAAAGATAATTGGAAAGCAGAAAATAAAATACTAGATATATTAGTTAAAACAAACAAAAGATAAAGATAGATTCATAATATACAACAAACATTCAGGTTACTTAAGCTTAGGTTTCTAGGACAAAGATTAATATTAAAATTTTTAATAAAGAAAGACAAGCTATGACTCTAGATCTAGTTTTATAGCGCCGATTAAATTTGTATGGTTGCTAAACAACATGAATGGTATTATATATCTTTTTATGTCATTTATTTTCTCCTTAAAGTGTTGATCCCCAATAGCAAGACATTATACATGCATGTCAGTTGTGGCGAAAATACAAAGGATTTGAAAACACGATGATATAGATAGAAATATTTGTAATTCATTTCTTAAAGAAAATGCTAAAATAGTAAAAATGAGTGCTACTATGCCCACCAACTGTTCCTATTTTTTCACCCAATATACGACATTTAAAAAATAAAAAACAAACAAACATATGACATACCAACCCACCAACATCAATATAGCTACCTAGCCCAACATGGTGACAACACCCCCATTATATTCAAAATTCCGTATCAAACCAAAAACGGCAGAGAATTTGGACTCTCTCTCTCCCCCCCCCCCCCACCACCCCCACCCCCCCTCCTCCTGGGGGCACCCCCTTCACTCCTATGTTATTTGGTCCGCTTTTTACTAAGAATTCATCTCACGAATTCAAATCTAAGCTTTCCATAGGTTTTTGGAAGCATCCAAATTGAGAATGATGTAGGATATCACTAAATGGGTAGATCTCGAACATATAACAACTTTCAAGCCACCTCCATTTAGCTTCATCATGAAAAATATATAATAGAACAGAGAATTCAAGAACAAAAAGTTATTTGAAAAGGGAAAAAATACCAGATATATCTCTAGAGAAGAATTTGAGAATTCAACTTATGTTCCTTAGATAAAGGGTAAATAGAGAAGATTTTTTTTTTGAGTAAAAGTAGAGAAGTTATTCAAAGAGGAAAAAGTACCTGATATGGCTCTAGATCTAGTTTTATGGCATTGGACAGTCGATAAACCTTGTTTAGTTGCTGAGAAACAACTTGAAGAGAAAAGAAGATGAAAAGTTGGGCACTTATTTTCTCCTTGAAGTGTTGATCATGACTAGCAAAGTATTATATATCAATTATGACGGAAATACCAAGGGTATAAAAACACGGAGATATATATGGAATATATGTAATTCATTTCTAAAAAAAAAAGAAATGCTGAAAAATAATTAAAAATTAGTGGTTCTACGCTCACCAACTTTTTCCATTTTTCACCCACCTTAGCCCATCTCGAATGGAGTACCAAAGAGCCCAATGTAGCCTATTTTCAACAAAAAAATTCCAAGGCTAAAAGGTTGGAGTGCGAGACATTTTTAACCAACTTAGACCAACTCCAATTTTTGGGTTAAAACTTATTTTTGGAGCCAAATTTAGTCCAAAAAATGAGTCAAGGTTAGTGTCTGAGACTTAGTTGTTGACGTTGTTAACCACTTGCGGAAATACCAACGACTATTTTTTTGGATCTGACAACCCACGTCGTTAGACTTGTCATATCCCGGCCTGGGCCCCTACCACAATACGAGCTCGACTCTACCGTAACATGATATTGTCCGTTTTGGACCCTAACCACGCCCTCACAGTTTTGTTTCTGGGAACTCACACGAGAACTTCCTAGTGGGTCACCCATCCTAGGATTGCTCTCACACGAACTCGCTCAACTTCGGAGTTCCTACGGAACCCGAAGCCAGTGAGCTCCCAAAAGGCCTCGTGCTAGGTAGAGATGAGAATATATATACATATAAGGCTTACAGGATCCACTCCCTTAGGCGACGTGGGATCTCACAATCCACCCCTCTTAGGGGCCCGATGTCCTCGTTGGCACACTTCCAACCATGGATTAGCTTTGATACCAAATTGTCACATCCCGGTCCGGGCCCCTACCATATCCAGGACTCGACTCCACCATAGCACAATATTGTCCGCTTTGGGCCCCGACTGTTTCTGGGAACTCACACGAGAACTTCCCAGTGGGTCACCCATCCTGAGATTGCTCTCGCGCGAACTCGTTTAACTTCGGAGTTCCTACGGACCCCGAAGCCAGTGAGCTCTCAAAAGGTCTCGTGCTAAGTAGAGACGAGAATATATACATATAAGGCTTACAGGATCTACTCTCCTAGGCGATGTGGGATCTCACAAGACTGCTTATTCAACCAATGACCCAAATTCTTTTTTTTTTTTTTTAAATCAAAATTTTAAATACATTAAATCTAATGGTTGAGATCAAACATGAACAAATTTAATGGTAATAAGAAGATCTAACAACTCAAAATTAAATTCAACGGCTAAAACAATTAAAAAATGATTTAAATCACAATTCACAAAAAAAAAAAAAAAACTCTATAAATATCTATATATTTGTTCAAGCATAACACAAATACACTTTGTCAAACAATTCTTCCTTTTTTTCTTTCTACCTACCTATGTATTTGTGTTTAAAAACATGGTAGGTTGTGTGGTTTTCCATGTTCTTTCATGTGGTGCATATGTGCAAGAATGAGATAGGCTTAATGATTTTTCATTATTAATCGTAACTTTAGCCTAAATTCATTTTTTAATAATCTCAGACTAAATTTTTAAGTCAAAACCATTGGAAGAGAAAAACTATTTTTGGTTTAGAACCTAAAGTTTCTAGGCTAAAAATTTATATTATAACCCCAACCATTGCAGTTAATTTTAGTATTCTGGTCTATAACTGTTCACGAGGAGAAATTTTTCATTGTGACGGGAATATGAGTGGTACACCACGTGTTTTTATATAAGCAGTGAGAAATTTTATTTTTTAAGTTATAAACTTTTTAACTCACATATCCCACCATTTGTATAGTGACACGTGTACCATCCCTTGTGCCTGTCACACTGAAAAATCTCTCGTTCATGAGGACCACCCATTTGAAAAGAATAGAATGCTGCCAAGTTGGACTGCTTTGATGTGGGGCAGTGTACCAGATATCATGCACCTGAAACAAAAAAAAAAAACTCCCAAATTTCAAGGTTTGCTAGAAATTAAACGGTCCAACACAAAAGCTACCTTAGTTGTGAGAAAGCATTTTCTTATAATAGTTTTGTGACATATTCTCTCATTCCGTGAGAGCGTTTCTCTCCCTCTGTGAGAGAGTCTTTCCTTCTTTTGGTGAGGGTTTCACGATTGACCACACTCTCCGGCACCGACTCTAGCTTTGGCTGGAGTCAGTTGCCCCTTTTCCCCTCCTTTTGTTCTCTCATCTTTTCCCCTTCTTTGCCATGAATCGTATCTCAAAATCATCATTTGGATTATTCTCTATATTTCTATATTTACTCTAACAATCTTAAAGTGTTATTTTCATCATGGAGAACAAGTCTGATAACATGGCTTTGAAGATTATCAATCAAGATGTCTACAAGCTAGACAAATTTGATGGATCAAACTTCACCCGATGGAAGGATAAGATGCGTTTCATGCTTACTGTTCTAAATGTCATTTATGTGTTGCACCCGAAATTGGAGCCTATTCGTGAACCAAGTGATGAAGAATCGGACAACATAGTTGCCGATCGAAAGAAGCGTGAAGAAGATGAATTGGTATGTCGATGATACATCTTAGGCACATTATCTAATCGCTTATATGACCTGTACGCACACATTCAATCTTCAAAGTAAATATGGGAAGCACTCGAACACAAGTACACAATGAAGAAAAGTGGCACCGATAAAGTTTTAATGTTCAAATATTATGAGTTCACTATGTTTGATAACAACCCCATCCTAGACCAAGTTGATGAATTATTGGTCTTGATCTCAAAGCTTCATGAACTTAAAATAGTTGTTCTAGATCCTATGATAGTTGGGGTTATTATGGCAAAATGACCCCAAACATGGAATAATTATAGAAAGAAATTTCTACACATGGTGGAAGATATTAGTTTGGAGGATTTGCAAAAGGATATTCATATTGAAGAAGAAACTCGAAATCGTGATAAGAATTTTGCAAATCAAGATTTCTCCAAAGTTCACATTATTGAAGGAAACAAATACAAAAAGAACTTCACAGTCAAAATTGACAAAGGGAAGTTTAAAAAGACCAATTCCAACAACAATCAAAAGAATACAAATGGCGTTTGCTACCATTGTGGAAAAAAGGCCATTACATTTGTGATTGCAGACACAAAAAAGCAAGTGAGGGATATGCCAATAAGACCAATAGTGCAAATATGGTGGAAAGCTCTGGAATTGATAACATTGTTGCAATGGTATCAATGATGCATATTGGCATGATTACCAAACTGAATATGGCATCGGCAATAAAATCCTCTGATTGGTGGCTCGACTCAGGAGCTATTATACATGTGTGCAATAACAAGGCACAATTCATGACATATGAAGCATCAACGAACAATCAAGAGGTTTTAATGGGGAATCATAATTCTGCAAAAGTTCTAGGAAAAGGAACCGTTAAACTTCAGTTTACTTCTGGGAAGAAATTGACTTAGCTTAATATACTACATGTTCTAGAAATTAGAAAGAATTTTGTGTCTGCAAATTTATTATGTAAGAACGGCACAAAAACTGTTCAGAGTCCGACAAGTTAATAATGTCAAAAAATGGAATGTTTGTTGGGAAAGGGTATTCTTGTGATGGGATGTTCAATCTAAGTATTAATAATAATGTGAATTCTTCTGCTTATATTGTTGAATCTTCCTCTCGTTTATGACATTTGCATTTAGCACATACAAATTTTAGATCTTTAAAATACATGTGCACACTTGGTTTAATTGCTTGCAATGATAATTATAATGATAAATGTGAAACATGTATTCAAGCAAAATGACTAAGAAATCTTTTCTAACTACTGAAAGAAATACAAATTTATTAGACTTAATACATTCTGACATATGTGAATTTAATGTTGTTTTAATAAGAGGAGGAAAAAGATATTTTATTACATTTATAGATGATTGTTCTAAGTTCACTTATGTTTATTTATTGTCTAATAAACATGAAGCATTTGAGTGTTTTAAGCGCTATAAAGCTGAAGTTGAAAACCAAAAAGGAAGGAAAATTAAATGCCTTCGTAGTGACAGAGGTGGTGAATATTTTTCACATGAATTTGATATTTTTTGTGAAGAGCATGGTGTTATACATCAAAGAAGTACACCCTATACACCACAACAAAATGGTTTGGTAGAAAGAAAAAATAGGACACTCACTGAAATGATTAACTCTATGATGATTAATGCTAATACTCCAAAATATTTATGGGATGAAGCATTGTTTACTGTTTGACATATACACAATAGAATTACATCTACAAAGACACATGTGTCACCATATGAAATTTGGAAAGGAAGAAAACCAAATTTGTTATATTTGAGAGTATGGGATTGTGTAGCCTTTTATAAGGCACTGGATCCTAAGAGATCCAAGTTGGGTCCAAGAGGAATTAAAAGCATATTTGTAGAATATGCAAAAAATTCAAAGGCATATATGTTGCTTAATTTAGACTCAAATACAATAGTTGAGTCTAGAGATGTTGAATTTATAGAAAATAAATTCTATAACGACTACTTAATATCTGGAAAAGAGAATGATCAAACACTTTTCTCTAATCCGGCTAGTAGTCATTCTCAAGGTGAGAAAAGAAAACAGTCTGAAACTGTTAATGAACCAAGTAAAAGGCAAAGAGTAAGAAAAGAAAAGACTCTAGGCTCTGATTTTATTTTTCATCTCAATCTATTGTATTTTTAGTCGACGGAAATAAAACAAAGGTTCTTAAAAAAATACTCATATTGTTGAATGTTGAGGATGATCCTAAAAGCCTAAGCGAGGCAATGACTTCCCTTTTGGAAAAAGGCTATAGATGATGAATTTGAATCATTGATGTCTAATCAGACATGAGTTTTAGTAAATTTGCCTCAAGGATCAAAAGCAATAGGTTGTAAGTGGGTATTTAGAAGAAAATACAATATAGACGGGTCTATTCAGACATTTAAATCCAGGCTGGTTGCCAAAGGTTTTAAGCAAAAAAAGGGAATAGACTATTTCGATACAAATGCACCAGTAGCTGGGCTCACATCAATTAGAATATTGTTTGCATTGGAATCTTTATATAATTTGTATGTGCATCAAATGGATGTGAAAA